TAAAATTTAATATTAATTCATTACCACAAAAATGTCCTCTTCAAAATCAGCCGAATTAACCAGCACACAATCCCCCAGCTTTATATAAACATCAGATTCTGATTTATGCCGAATTGAATTAAAACAAAAATATTGTTTGACATTTTCCTCGTTGGAGTCAGGAAGTCTACGTAGCGGTAATTGTTTAAGAACACCTAAACCTATAGGGCGCCAATTTGAAGCAAATTGAGAAGGTTGGGAAGTGAAGGTTGGAATGGTTGAAGTTGGAGTATTTAAAGGTTTTGGGGGTTTTGAAATTGGTTTGGGTAACAATTTGGTACGAGAAGGTGATGGGGAAGCTGAAGAAGAAGAAGAGAATAAAACCATCTTTCGAGACTGAAAAAAAAATTTTTTTTTAAATTTTTAAAAATTATTTAAAAATAAATGAAATTATTACAATATGAAGCTGACGACAGCTCCGTCTTTCCCCTCCAATCCTTTTATCTGGCGAAATTTCCGAAAGTTTCAAATTTGCCAATAATAAAGCTTTCCTTTTCCTTCTTCGAATAATTAATTTCTCGTTATCTTCTAATTTACTTCTTTTGTAATTTTTCTTCTTCTCCTCTTCTTTTCTGTTCCTCAACCTCATTAAATACGCCTGCTTCTCCCCAACGGCTTCTGAAACATCTAAACTTTTTATTTCCCTTTTTATACTAGTACCTTTCAAAACATTTAAATCAGAATTAATCTGAACATTCTCATCTGTTTTTCTTCTATTTCTCAAACTTGTTTTGTAATTTTTGCAGCTTGCTCTGCAGCCTGTTTTGCAACTTGTTTTGCAGCCTGTTTTGAAACTTGTTTTGCAGCCTGTTTTGCAGCCTATTTTTAAACTTGTTTTGCAACTTGTTTTACAATTCTTTTTTCCACAAACATTTTCCAACTTTTTTCTTCTTTCAAGTTTATTTTCTTTTTCAATAATGTTTTCTTCCTCTTTTTCTCTAATTTCCTCTTTGATTTCTTTAATCTCTACACTTTCCTCCTTAGTTTCTTCCTTAATTTCTTCTTTTAAATTTTCTTCTTTCGGAAGATTTTTTCTTCTTCTTCTTTTAATTAATTTTTCTTCCTTCACCTCCTTGCCCTCTTCTAAATCTTTTACTTTACGCCTAACATATTTTCTTTTAGGCTTCATCTCAACCTCTTCCTTGCCTACTTCCTTTTTCTCTTTCTTAATATTTTTTAAACTAGTTTTTCCATTTTTATTTGTTGTTTCTTCCTTTTCCTTCATATTTTTCTGAATTTCTTTTTTGGAAATTTTGTTGGAGAATATTAGAAGAGGCTGTTGTTCTGTTGGAGATGACCAAATACCGCTACTTGTTGAGGAAGAGGAAATATCTGATGATAAATTGAAGAATTTTGAAGAATTTAATGATGGCTGGAGAAAAATATGACGATGGGGACTTTTATCGTTAAATTCCGATGACTCATTTGTAGTTTTTGTGGGAAAGAAAACGACGTCATTATTATCATTATTGTCCTCAACCAATACCTTAAAGCAAAGTTGAGTTTGATTAGTCTATTACAGTATACAAAAAATCTAGGGAGAGATAATCTATTTAAAGGGCCCGACGTCTAATTAGAGAGGGGTACTTACAATTAGAGAGGTGTCCTTTCAATTAGAGAGGTGTGCTCTTAAATAGAGAGGTGTCCTCTCAATTAGAGAGGGGTACTTTCAATTAGAGAGGTGGGTGCTGCATAATTAGAGAGGTGTCCTTTTAATTGGAGAGGTGTCCTTTTAATTGGAGAGGTATCTCAATAGGAGAGATATGTCCTCTCAATTAGAGAGCCCTAAAAATAAACTAAAAAATTTAAGGAAAAACGGCCACCCACTTCAGGCTCCAATTTAGGCATTCTAACAAAAACATCGACATTGTTACTCTCCTTCTCAACATCCCCCCAATCCTGCTCCATTTCCTTCCTTAAAACAGGGGGACTCATATAAGGGCTGGGAGAAACAGAAGGAGAAGAAGAAAATGTTGAACAAGAAGAAGAGGAACTAGCTGGAATAAACATTTTGTTGTTGTTGTTTTGTTGTTGTTCAAAGGATGTTTGAATACTAAGGTTTTGATGAATGTTTTGTTTTTCTAAATAATCATTATGTAAATTTATAGAAATGTTGTTAGTGTTAGTTGTGTTGTTAGTGTTGTTGTAATGGGTATAATAAACACCTATTTGACGCATTTCTGAATTTGAAATGTTTTTATAAGGAGAATAAAACTTTAAAATAAACTTGGAGAAACATAAGTTATTGTTTAAAGAAACAAATTTATTAAAAACAAGTTTGTTAAAAACATGTTTTTAAAAAAAGTTTATTAAAAGAAACAAGTTTATTTTGAAACAGGTTTATTTAAAAATAAGTTTAATTAAAACAAGTTTCTTTAAAAACAAGTTTAATTAAAACAAGTTTATTAAAAACATGTTTAATTGCAACAAATTTATCCAAAAACAATATTATTTAGAAACAAGTTTGTCTGTTTCTGTACACTTTACGAACATATTTTATTATAAAATGTTCATTTCAGAATAAGTTTTAGTATGTTTTTGATATTTTCTCAACAAGTTTATTTCTTTTAAATGTTTTTACGGTAAACATGTTTTTAAACAAACATCAATTTCAAAACATATTTTTTCCAAGTTTATTAAAAGTTGCGATAAAAGGAAAACAAAGCGGAACATATAAAAACAATAAAAACAACAGAATATGTTTGTTTTAGTCACCTAAAACTTTTTATAGGTGTTTGTAAACAACATTTAAATAAAATAATATATACGTAGCAAAGGAATTTTTAAAATGGATTTTATTTTTTTTTCAAATTTAAAATTATTTTAAACGTTAAATTTTAAAATTTATGACTTTATTAATTAAAAATTGATCGTTAATTTATTTTTAAATCAATAATTCTTAAAATAAAAAAAAATAGAAAAAAGAGGTGAAGGTGAGGATAATGAGGAGAAAATTAAAAAATAATTTTAATAAATTAAAAAATAATTAAAAAATAAAAATATTATTTTTAAATGATTAATTCAAATATTTAGTTGACTCATTTTTAAACTTTCCTAAAAAAATATATTAATTTTTATTAGAATGATTATATTTAGTTGCTATCATTTGACGAAACGCAAAATAACAAGTAAATAAATGGGAAGAAAAAAAATTTTTTTTGTTAATTTCGAAATAAACAAAGAAGCATGTCTAAATAAAAATGTTTAAAAATAATTAAATGTTTTTGGGAAAAAATAATAATTTTTTAATTTTTTTTATTACAGTATACCTTCAAATGTTTAAATTTTTATAAGGTCCTAAAATTAATTTTAAAAATAATTTTTGTATTTTTTAAAATAAAGTGTGAATTAGTTAGGGGTAACATTTACTGATACCGCAGATTTTTTTTGGAAATTTTATTTTTAAAAATTTAGAGGCAAATAATTTGTAGTTACAGAAAGTTTTTAAAGGAAATTTGATGTGCCAGTTGATAGTTAATCTTAGTTGAGGAACCTAGTTGATCTATGCCATATAACTTTATTAATTGCCCTCCCTCGATGAATTACCCCCTCTAACGAGATATTGAATCATTATTATCCAGGGTGATTACTTGAGGGGAAAATGGTATCCACTCTTAAATTTTGTTCAAGACACATGCTTCCTCCTCAGCTCTCGACTTTCGACAAAATTTAGCCGTTCCGTTAAACGCCTTTAAAAATGCAACAGGGACATATTTCCTGCCTTAAAGCTCCGGTAAAATAAGAGTTTCAAAAATTTCTAAAAATGAGGTTATCCTTCTTCTAATAAAAAATTTTTAAAAAAAAAGCCCAACGATTTCACAATTGATTTTTATTTTTTTGAATGCTATTTATACATACAACTAAAAAAAATATTTGGCGGCCAAGTAAGAATATTTATTGTCTACTATTAATGTGTGCGTGCATTGAGGGGATGGGGGGGGGGATAGATTGGGGGAGATAGAAATGGAGAAAGAAAAAATTTTTATTTAGACTTAGCCGTGAGCAATCCTGGCAAGAAAGAAATTTTTGATTGATTAGAGAGGTAGGGAGGGGGTAGCTTACTGTAGTTGTTTTAATTAAGGCATGACTAGGCCAAAGGTAGCTAGCAAGAGGCGGAGAACCCTCTTCGAACGGCTATGAAACTCCGTCAAGAAACTCCAAGTCCATATAAGAGCCCTTTCAAGCGACCGAGGAACTTCAAGCCTATCATAGATCAGGGTCGGTCTACGTTATAAAATTCCAAAGCTAACTGACATGAAGGTCTGTAGGTCTCCATCTCCTCGAAGGTCTCCATCTGTCTTATATGGCCATTCAAAGTCATACGGTCGTTTGAAAAGTCTCCTTTGAAAGTCTCTATTTGTAGCTTGCGCTCTCTAAAGCGACTCCTACCTAGATATACTTTCGAAACCAAATCTCAACTCAAGAGGCATCCTTATATAGAGTGATTCGATTGTATAATGAAGAATTCGCCGACAAAAAAAAATAAATAAAAATTCCTATTTTATTAAAACATTTTTAATAAAATAATCCAAATCCTATAATATAGTTTCTAATTTCACTCACATAAATTAATAAAAAAGAACAGATTCATATCCATGTACGCGTAAATAATTAAAAAAAAGTTTTCAAGGTTAAATAAAAAATGAGTTGAATAGATTTTGTAAAATTAGCCTGCAGGAGTTTAGAGTTTTTAGTAGAGACTAGGAGTGTCATACGAAAATTCTCGATAACCAAGATTTTCTATAGAGATCTCGTCCGGTCCGGTCGTCCTTATATAAAAGAATGCCTATAATATTTTTGAAGGAAAAAACCTTTAGGGCATATCATGTAGAATTTCACCCCACGTCTTTGACGTAAAAAGGAGAATCTTCAAACTCGTATGTAACATTTAACGGTAAGACAGCAATTTAGTTAACAAAAAGTTATTTTTTAATTTTTAGTTTTTACAATCCTTTTAGCCTCGCATTTGAATAAGCCACAGGGAAATGGAATGAACTATAGAATGAGACTTGATTAAGAATAAATAGAATGGGGAAGAATGGGGAAAAATGAAAATGCGGGGGCAAATAACAGGATATACCCCTTTAAAATATGACAACCTTATAAGAGATATAGATTTAAATGTAGCTTGACTGAGAGATTTTAATTAGGAAATTTAAAGAAGGCCAATACATCTCCCCCTCTCCTCCCCAATACGACACTGATTTTTAAAAGGTTAAATTTTAATACAGTAAATCTAATAGAACTTCTATTTTTCAACTAGAGTTAAGCAGTATCGGGATTTGAGAAAAAATCGGGATCAGGATTTTGGAATGGTGATACCGACCCGACATCGGGATCATTCAAAACCGGGATAGGAATTTACCTTTGGGTGGGATCTGAAAAATCGGGACTGGGGTCCAAAAACCTGGGATAATCCCGATCCCGATGAACTCTACTTTAACCCTCTCGGAGGGTGTGTGCTTATTGTGCTTGTTGGAAGGTGTGTTTCTATTAGGAGATTTACAGTATTCCCACAAACACTTTATTACAGTAACATTAAGAAATAAAATAAAAATTCAAAAAATCCTAAGAATTAATACCGTAACCTACAGTAAAATTTTAAAAGGAGCACAAAAAGGTGTCGACTACACTCAAAATAATATTTTGCTAAAAAATACATATGTATTTAATAATCTTTTTTAATAAAATACAAAAACACTTAAAAATGCTTTTTGAACTAAGAAAACACTCCCCCCGTTCTTTTAATAAGGAAAGTAAATACAAACATAAAATGTGAGGGGTGGAGCGAGAAAAAGAGAAAAAAGACTGAATAAATAAATAAATTTGTTGAGAAAAAGAATAATGTAAAAAAGAGGACATGGGAGGGTTGTGAAATGCCAAATAAGAGGTTTGGACAAAATGCCAGCAAGTAGAGAATTGGACAAAATGCCAACAAGAAGAGAAATGGACAAAACGTCCAAGCAGTAAATACCGTATGTAGTCGGGATCATGAGTGAGCGTTGTCGGAATCAAGTTTTCATTGTTGATTTTTTGTTTTGCGTTTATCCACAAACAATAGTATTGCATTATCCCTCCGTTAACTTTATTCTGCACTGAAACTGAACCATTCCAGATTCGGTGCAGATCCTTGAAGGCCCTCGGGGTGATCAAGTCCCTTGAACTTTTCCCTACATCAAAACACCCCAAAGTTTTCACGAACTTTCACGAACTTTATTACGCGATAAACAAAACAATAAATGAAAATATTATAGCGTACATCGAACATAGGACAATACATTCTTTACTCCTTGTCAGTATTACCTTCGGGCTACATAATAGGAAGTCTCTAAGCTACTCATATAAGCTGGAGACAAAATAAAGAAGACTTTTTGGCTTCTGAAACTTTAAAAATTTTGCGCCAAAAGTAGGAAGCCTTGATATGCATTAAGCTATCATGGAACAGCTCCCAAAACTAAAGCTCTAGATCTAGAGCTCATATTTGAATAAGTCGGAGCCGAAGCCACAAAACAATAATAAATACCACCCAAGTTCTAAATAGACCTAAGAAAGTCATAGGTCACCGAGAGTTTTCGAGACTACGAGTTTAGATTTATTCAATTTAAACTAAAGGTTCTGATTTACTAAATAAAATGTTGGTTTTTCACCCAAAAAAATTTTTCACCCAAAAAATCAAGCTTACTCCCCCTATAGTTTTTTCTATGCTTCGAGACCTATAACTCGGTCCAGAATCATTTCCTAAAAATAATTTCCTAAATTAATTTTGCGTTATTGCGTTTTTTTAAAAATTGTCTCTTGCGCTCACCCGGTCTCGATACAGTACCCCACAGTTTTGTATGGTTGGGCAATTTGTCGCTAGGCATTTTGTCTTTGTACTAAAATTAAGAGCCGTTTGAAAAACTGGCAAAAAGCTTAAAAATGATGAAAAAACTGAGAAAAAAAAATTCGAGAAAGAAAAAAAATATAAAAGAAATTTTAAAATAAAAACGAAAAAATAGTATGATAAAAGTTGATAAACACAATAACAATGTTTAGGCTGGAAAGAAAATAAAAAAAGAAAGAACATTAGAGAGTGGTAAGTAAATCGATAGACGACGATGTGGCGGTCTTTTTAGAATAAAAATTATTTTTATGGAAGAGATTTGCGGATTTAATTTGCGGACTTGTTTAAAAACAAAAAAAAGTTGGGTGAAACAAAGGGGTGTTTAGAAGGCTTAGGAGGTTTATCCCTAGTCTCCAGAACTACTATAGAGACACATTAAACCTCAGCTAAGGTGGGTATAAGTATTCATGGATATGGCCCTGCCTAATTTTAAAAAGCGGAAGCCAAAAGGAAGCGGAAGGAAAAAAGCAGCGGATAGAACGCGGAAGCGGAAAGGTTTAGAAAGAGACTGAATGGTACAGAAGGCGGAAGAAAATGACTGTTGTTGCTTCAAAATGCAGCAAATTCTGAAGATATCAACCCTCTTTGGCCATGACGACGTTTTAAAGGAACAGACGCGGTTTCATACAGATGCGGGTTCGAATAGAAGTTAATATCAGAAATATACCTGAACTTAACAAAATTTAGGGGTTAACTCGAGTAAAATAACAAATAATTATGCTAACTAAATTAACTGAACAAAATTAGCTGTTCCCAAAAATATATAAATCCCCAAAATTTTCTCTAAAATAGACTGGGACTTATTTCTCAATTTATTTTGAAACAGAGTAGTTAAAGTAACCAAGCTAAAATATACTCAATCAGATCACAGATTTAGGCAAAAAATTAAAATTAATTTAAATTTTTAGCTCAAATATCTCTGATTACCTCGTTAATTCAGAATAAATTACCTAAATTAATAAAATTTTTTAATAAATAAATAAAAATATTTTTATTTATTGAATGAAGTATAGAAAAATTGGTTTTACTAAAAATGGTTAAACTAAAATATTTTCTTTAAAAAATTTATATTTTTTTTAAATATTAAGGGTTAGCTGTACATACAAAAATTAAAAAAATAAATAAATAAATAAAGAAAAATATTTAAAAAAATTAAAAATAAAATTTTTTTTAATAATTAAAAAGGCTGTACTTTAGTACGTGGGTCCCGGAGTTAATATACAAATGTTATACCATTCGAAAGAGCTCCTCGAGCTGAGTCGAATGACACCAAAATCAACGAAATCCGACTTGATTGGACAAAGTTATGATCTTTTATTTTAGCTCCTTACCTATGGGATCTGTGGAGATTTTTGCTGCTACGGAGGCCCCAAATACGTCCAGAGCAAGGGAGATAGGAATAGGTTTATGTTACGAGCCCAGACCCAGCGCCCGTAGACTCCCCGCGAGGCGCGTGCCGCAAAACCCCGCGCGAAGCGCGGGGTTTTGCACAAGCGCCTCGCCGACGCCCCATAGGTTTAGGTTTTAGTTTTTCTATCGTAACTTTGTCTAATCTTGTCAAATCACGGTGATTTTGGTGTCGTTCGACTCAGCTCGAGGAGCTCTTTCGAATGAGGTATCATTTGCATTTTCGAATTTTTCACCCCAAAAAAGTGCTTGGTCCCCCCTATGCTTTTTCAAATTTCAGGGACCTATATCTCGGTCCAAAAATTTTTCCTCGGGCTAAAACTGGTGGCATTCGACTCAGCTCGACTAGCTCTTTCGAATGGTATAACATTTGTATATTAACTCCGGGACCCACGTACTAAAGTGACCCCATTAAAAAACAAAATAATACATAATTGACATTTATGTGGCAGGGTTGATTAAAGACCGGACTGAGAGATCTTAAAAATCCTCGATTCTCGATAAACAATATTTTTGGTCGAGATCTCATCTCGGTCCTAGTTTTATGGAAACTGTTGCTAGTCTGGATTTATGAGACTTGGTAACATAGACAGACTCCTTTAAAATGTTTGAAAAAAATTGTTGGGTCGACCAGCAAATGTTTAGAAACTTAAAATTTTCATGTACTTGTACTTTGCCTATTTTTTTTTCTCGCACTTGTACAAATACGAAAAATTAAAAATGGCGTATGTTTGGTACGAATTTTTCTTTTTTTTCATGTACAAATAGACAGGTACCAGTACAAATTTTGTTAAGAAATTTCAACCATTGCCAGCGATTGTTAGATAAGATCCTAATAAACTTTTAGTTGTTTCTAACATGCCAACATTTTTTAAATATTGTTTCAAAAAACCATAAAAGGATTGTCCAAGCCATTCAAAAAAGAGGGCACCCTATTTTTTGTTATTAAATCCAACCCATTTCATACGTGATCTACGAGCTAGCCAAGGAAATTTAACTTGGTTTCGAATAATTTTGGGGAGGGAGCAATTTAACTAGCTTATGCTTCAGCCTGCCGTAAAGGACTAAAAGGAGGCTACTATTAGAGAGGTCTGGATATTAGAGATCGGCCTGGGTCTGGACCAAGGCCTGAGTTTTTCCTGTACCCGAGTCCAAGTCCAGGCATTTTTTGATCTTCCTGGGTTTTTCCTGGACTACAGGCCCAGGATCCAGTCCAGGTCAACAAATCAAACCCAGAGTCCAGGAACAGGTCCAGGCTTTTCAAAATTTCCTATCTCTACTGTATATATTTAATTAGTAAAAAAGGTCCAGCCTGACCCCAAACAATTTTGTCAAGGAGCAGCTAACTTGACTGGCTTCAGATAGCAAGGAGACTAAAAGAGGCTATTATTAGAGAGGTCTGGATATACTTTATTAAAAACCAAAAAATTTTTTATTACAAAATTTACAAAAAAATTAAAAAATTTTTAAGAAAAAAAATTTGTCCGCAAATAAAAATCCGCAAAAATATTGCGAAATTGTTGAGAGAAAAATAAAATTAAAATAAAGGCAACTAAAAGTTAAACAAAAGAAAGAGAAGAAAAAGAAATACTATTTTCTTTTCTTTTTTTATTGGAAAAGGCTTACTGTGGCCGACAGAAGAGAAAAGACAAATAGGAAATAAACACGTGAATTTTTAAAAAAAAGTTGTATAAAGTGATATTTGTATTTTGGAATTGTAAAAAATTAAAAAATGATATTTAGGGTAATTAGAGTCAAAAAATTCATTTTTTGTATTTTAGATCGTTCGAGTCTTATGTTCTCTCCTCAAAATGTCTTTTCTCTCTCTTCTCTCCTCAATACAAATCAGAATTATACAAAATCAGATTATCAGAATTATTACAAATCAGAATTATTACGAGACATCAGAATTATCAGAATTTCTACAAAACAGAATTATCACAAATCAGACTTACTGCAAAACTACTTCCAGAATTTGTAATTGTATTTTAATAAGTACAATTTGTATTTTAATATCAGAATTTGTGTTGTAATTTTAATAATTACAATTTGTAATTTTATCAGAATTATTATTTTTTAATTAAAAACCAGAATTTGTATTTTAAATATCAGAATTTTTGTTATCAAATCAGAATTCTTTATTAAAATACAAAAATTCTGATTTTTAAATAAAATACAAATTCTGATTTTACAATCACAATTTACAATTAAATCAGAATTTGTTGTTTTAATTAAAATCAGAATTAATTATTTTAAATTTACTTTAATACTTTTACCAAATTTATAATTAAAGTACACATTTTCATTCTTTATTTAATTTTTATCTTTAATTTTAATCTTTATTTTATAATAATTAATTTAATTTAAAAACAAATTTTTAAAAATATTTAACAATTAAAAACTAAAAACAATTTTTTTCTATTTTTATTTACAATTCACCACCAATCACTCTTTTTTCCGGGCATTGATGTCCACAGCATTTCTTCTGTTACATTATCATAATTAAGTGGGGATTGTGTTGTTGTTATTGCTCCCCTTCCCCATCCATTGTTTTTACAATATTGCAGACTGTTGTTCATGCCTACAAATAAATAAAATTTACGTGTTTAAATTGTGTTCTGATGAAAAATCAGAATTTGTATTTTTCCAGTTATTTGTAATTTTATCAGAATTTGTGTTTTATTTAAAAATCAGAATTTGTATTAATTGTATTTTAATTAGTTTATGTTTAGTCTGACCAAAAATCAGAATTTATGTTTTAATATACCTAATCAGAATTATTATACAAACACATTTTAATCAGAATTTATTTTCATACGATATTGAAAATCAGAAATTGTAAATTAATTACAGTTTGTAATTTTATCAGAATTTGTGTTTTAATAAAAAATCAGAATTTTTGTTTTAATAAAATCAGAATTTGTGTTTTAATTAAAATCAGACTTTATGTTTTGTTCAAACATCAGAATTTGTGTTTTGTTCAGAAATCAGAATTATTTACAAACACAAACATGTTTTAATAATGTTTAATTGTTTTTCTGAACATTACCTTCAAAATTGTTTGTTTCGTCTCTATCAAAACATCTCATTCCCTCATTTCTATAACAACCTCCACCAGATCTACTCAAAGTAAACTTAACAACAACAGGTTTATTACTATTATTTATTGTCCCCTCATATTTTTCTAATTTATTTCTTAAATTTCTTTTCCTTCCATTTAAAGATGTGGATAATTGTTCTATATTTTGCATCGAACAAGTTGATGTTTTTGAAGAATTCTGATTTTTGGAAGGAATGCTGTTTGTGTTATTACAGGATAGACTACTGGTAGCTGTTGTTGGGTTGCTATTATTTCCTGTAGATGTCTTTTTCTGAGTGAAAAAATTTTTTCTAAAAATTTTTTCTTGGTTCTCAGAGTATTTTAAAAATTTCCCACTAATTTTCTCTATCAAAAAATTAAAAGAAAAATGAAATTCACCTTCCTAGAACAACCCAAACAACAACAAAAACACCCCAATTTCTTCCAACATTTAATCCCACAACATTTAATTTTTTTATTATTATCATTAAAAATAGCTTCCTTTGCAAGTCGTTCTTCTTCTAATTGGCGAACTCTGTTCACTTCAAAAAAAATTTTTTTTTGAATTTTAATTAAAAAAATTCTTTCCCACTTGCATATTCCTCCAGATAAGAAGCACGTCTATACACTTTCATTGTCCCACCAGTCCCCGTTGTTGTTATTGTTTCTTCTGTTGTTGTTGCAGTGTTTGTACTAGCATCCATTTGCGAAGGAAAGGAATTCCAATAATGTTTTTGTTGGAATGTTGGTAGTCGATAATTATTATAAACATTGTTGTTGTTGTTAAAATTATTAAAGTTTTGGTTGTTTACAATGTTTTTGTTATTGTTGTTGTTGTAATAATATTCTTCATTGTTGTTATTGTTCACAACATTGTTTTCCGGCTCTTCTTCAATTACACCGCATTGAACAGCAACATCGGACTAAAACATAAAACTCTAATTAATGTTCGTAACTAATTCTGATTTTTAATAAAACATAAATTCTGGTTTTTTTTTAAATTCTGGTTAAAATATAAAGTGTAATTATTGAATATTAATTAAATTACAATTCTGGTTTTTACTTGGAAATTCTGATTTTTATTCTGTAAATTCCAAATTCTGATTTTTATGGTAAGATTACAAATTGTTTTCCTTGAAATTACAATTTCTGGTTTTCACATTTTTGAAATTACAAATTCTGGTTTTTAATTTGAAATTCTGGTTTTTATTAAAATTACAAATTCTGATTTTCTGTCTCTGAAATGAACTTAATTAAATTCCAGAATTATTTAAAAACACAATTTCTGATTTAATAAAGTTACAATTAAATTTTACAATTACAAATTCTGATTTTTATTTTTAACTACACCTTAAAATTTCTTTGATGTCTTCTCTGCCACAAATTATTTCTGTTATTATTTAAATTAAAACACAGCAGTTCATTATTATTTTTCCTTTCACCATCCCATCTACTCAATTCCCATTCACTTAGCCAATTATGCAAAGATTTTGAAGCTAAGAATTTTCCAACTTCTAATTGTTGTAATCTAGCATATTCTTGTGGGTGTTCAAACCGTAAAGCTCTTAATTGGGAACGTAATTGTCGTTCAATACCTTCAGGTAGAATTTGTCCGACCGTCTCAGAGTATGAGGAATGCATTTTATTTTCTTCTATAAAATCAGTAAAAACAGTAAATTATAAGTAAAATTAGTAAAAATATGAAAAAAAAATATTTCTTAGTTAAAAAACATTTTTATAAAATAAAATGACAGATTGGTGTAATTTAGAGGAAAAATGAAGAAATATGATTTAAGAAGAAAAATATAAAAAAATATCCGGAATAATTTAATAAACCATTTATTTTTTTGCTTGTCAAAAAATTAATCCAGAGATTTTTGTTTAAAAAAAATAAATAAAAATATTTCCCATCTTTAAATGTTTGATCTCTCTCCTCGATTGATTCTCCCGTAAAAATTCCTTTTTCTTCATGCGACAGATGGTTGACTTTAAAATAAACAACTGACGGAATTTAGTAGAAAAAAACTTTACTGATAATAAAAAACAAAAATATTTTTTATTAAGTGATGGACTCATTAAAGAGGGTCAACTGGCGGCTACTACATACTAATACAAATATTATTATAATAAAAACACTTGGAAATAAAAAAAAGTAACTAATTCCCTAATCTAGCCAGATAATGGCTATTCTACTACCCACGAAGGGGTCTTCAAATAGATATCAAGGGTACTAATTCCCTAATCTAGCCACATAATGCCTATTCTACAGCCTACAAAGGGTTCTTCTATTAGGTATCAAGGGACAAACTTGCTAATTTAGCCCCTTAATTGCTATTCTACAGATTTCAATAGAATCTTCTAATAGGTATCAAAGGTACCAATTCCCTAATTTAGACCTTTCAGGTCTATTCTACCACCAGCAAACATGGACTTAGATTATGTAGCAAGAGACTGGTTTCCCAATCTACCCATTTAATTTCTATTATATTTTCTATAAGGGATTTTCTTAATAGAATAATTAACATGGCCCGTCTACTAAATAAACGGGCTCTTCGATTAATTCCCTAATACCAAATTTCCATAGAAAAATCAAAAATACATTTTTTAATAATAAAAACACACTATATATTTATACTAAATCATGTTTTCCTAATAAAAACAAAATACACAAAACAAATGTTTTTCAAGTTAAAAAAATATAAAAAGGAGGGAAAATGCTTGAATAAAATACAAAAATAATAAGAGAATAAATGGGGGGATTTAAGGCATTTGAAACATTTTTTGTATGATTTCACATAATGAGTGTAGAGAAGCTGCTTTCTTGACTTTTTAAAAATAATTTTGAAATGTGCTAAATTTTAATAAATTCTTGGATAGAAAATAATAAAAATTTAAAATAAAAATAAATTTGTAAAAAATTAATAAAAAAATATATTGAGAAAAATAGAAGACACACAAAAATTAGTAAAGAATGGCTGAATAAGCGAACAATTGCCATCATTCATTTTCACGTCTAAAAATATTTTTCTTTGGCCTATCTAAATTTTTTTCTAATTCAGAAAATAATTCTTTGAATAATAGACTAGACAACTGAAAAAATTTTTTTTGGGAATTTTTGAGCTAATTGGAAGCCTAAAAAATTTAAAAAAATAAAATCGGGACAATAAAAGAGTTGATATTCTTCTTCTTTCAAAAATTTTTTCTTCTCTTCCTTTTAATAAAATTTAAAATCCAGCAATTACACAGTAGGATTCTAAAGCAGAAATTCCAATATAGAAAAGCCATAGACATGCAAAAAATCCAGATGTGAGAATTTGGAATTTGCGAGGGCCTCCTAATTCGCCTCCAATTGCTCTTAAATATATTTTTTTAATTTTTAAATGAAAAAAAAATTAAAATTATTTTTTGAAAAATATTTTTTTTAATTTTAAAAATAATTTTAAAAATTTCTTAATTCTTAAATAATTTATAAAAAATAAAATATTAATTTACGGATGTCTTCTAGCCACAATAACAATAACACAAACAAATGCTTCTATACAAAAAATAGTAACAGAAAATGCTAATGCTCTATAAAAATGATTTTTTTTTAATTAAAATAAAATTAAAAAATATTTCTTACCCAGGATCAACTCGAAAAACACTTCCTTTGAACCAATGATAAACGGCTGCTAATGTCCAAGCTATACCAATACCGAGAAATACATTTACCTATAATTTTGTGTTTTTATTAAAAAAAGTTGGAATGTTTGTAAAATATGTTTTTAAAAAAATAATTAAATAAAGAAAACACAAACAGAAATACAAACTTAATTAAAATCAGAAACACAAACTTTAAAAAGAAAAACACAAATCTAAACACAAAATCAGAAAACACTAAAACACAAACTTTAATAAGAAAAACACAAGTATTAAAACATGTTTTACAACTTGTTTGTGTTTAAAACTAGATTAAATAAAAAAACACAGAAATACAAACATTAGAATCTAAAATAAACTTACAGCATTTGATCCAGTAACATTTCCTATTGAATTATCTGCATATTTGTCTTGTACAGCAGAAACTTTGCTTGCAAAAGTGTCGGGAACGGAAGTACCTAATGCTACGAAACTGATTGCAGTAACTTAAAAAATAAAAACTGCAATTTTTAAAGGCATATTTTTTAGACCTGCATCTTTGAGACCGGCCCAACAGCCCTTTAAAAATAAAAACAAAATTATTAATTATGTTTTAGAAAAATACAAGAATGTTATTGAAAAACACATTCCCCAAAACTTGAGGTTTCTCCTCAAACATGTTTCGAAACATATTTTCTTTTTTATAAATATTTTTAACAAGTTTTACAATCTTCAGCAAGGTTATTAAACTTGTTTTAAGTAAATTATAATATTTAAGAAAAAAACATTTGTTTTTGCTAAATTAATAAAATATGTTTTGGTATGTTTAAACAATGTTTCTTTTGTTATGTTTCTAGAATGTTTTACAAATCTTCCAAAAGCTTTGTAAGTTCCGGAAAATAATGTTTCGATATTCCTGAAAACACAAAAAACACAATGTTTTTATTTAAATAATTGTGCTTTAGTGCTTTCTAAAATTGTGTTTCAGTGTTATTTAATCAACTTACAAATTGAGAAGCAAGATCACCAATAACTGCGGTTAAAAGACCAATCTACAAAATTTTATTTAATTTTATTCTATTAAAATAAAAATAAATATTACCATGAGTATAGAGACTGTAAAACATGCCCAACCACCCCAATAATCTGAAAATTTTAAATAAATTTTTTTTTAATTTTAAAAAATAACCAGTAGGTGGAATAGTTGCAAATGCCAACTTCCACGGGACAGAAATAAAATGCATTAAATAGTCAGATTTACTCGGTTGTTTCCCTTTTCCTTTTGTAATTGACAATTCCTCCCCTTTCAATCCATCAGCTTCTCCCGGCTCCCGAATGACTAATTTAGTTGTTTTTCCTTCATCTTCATCTCCTCCTTCTTCCTCTTCATCATCATCATCTCCAGCACTTACAGTTAAAGCATCAATAAATTGTTCTCGCCAACTGCTAGTTCCAAGCATAAATGAGGCATTTGCTGTTTTTAACATTCTGTCAACAACACCCTTAAATTAAAACTTTTTTTAATTTTTCAAAATGTTTTACAAATGTTTTTGTTTCCCAAACATGAGAAAATACAAATGTTTGTTTCCCAAAACATTTGAAAATACAAATGTTTGTGTTTCACAAAACATGAGAAAATACAAAACAGAAGGAAATACAAATGTTTGTTTAAAAAACTAATTTAATAAATATTTTACAAACATACTAAAACAACATGTTTTTAAAATGTTTGTCAAGAAAAGTTTATTTAATGTTTCCCAAAACATTTAATAACACAGGAAAATAGAAATGTTTGGTGTTTTGTGTTTTTAATGTTTTTCTGACAAATAAAACAAGAAACAAATTGTTTTACTCTGTTCTAATTTATTTCTTAGTCTAGACAACAAAACAGGTAAATTTGTAGGAAGCTAGTTACCGGCAAAGATTTTTGGCCAGAAAAAATATTAGTTGGTTGTAGGCAATTATTTAAAATAATAATAGGAAAAGCAATTAATGCTTACACAATATTATTTTTGAGAAAATATATTTTTTAATTACTAGTAGATTGTGCAATCGGCACAAAAAGGACAAAAAAAAGTAAAAAAGGACAATTAATGTAATAAAAATAAATAATTAAAAAAGAATCAAAAATTATGAAAAAACAATTAAGGAAAAAAATTTATTTGAAGCTTTTAATGAGGCTATGCCGATAATGCCAAGGTGATTAAAATGATTGACATGTACAATGAACAATAAAAATACAAATAAAAAATAATGTTTGGAAGCCTATATAAATTGGAAATATTTTCAGGAAAAACACAACAAACATTTAAAAATAATATTTTATTTAGCCTCAAAAATAAAAAAAATTTCCAAACTCAATTTTATTAGAAACAAAAACACCTGTTTTTGTTTCAGAGAGAAACAAGTTTGTAAAACAAGTTTTACAATTCCCCAAACATTTTCCCAACGAAATGTTCATTTAAAATCAAAACATTTTTTAATTTATAAATGTGTTTTTGTTTTAGAGAGAAACAAGTTTGTAAAACAAGTTTTACAACTCTCCAAAACATGTCCATCCCTATTAACTTTTTAAGACTAATCCAATGTGTTATAGTAATCGCCGCCTTTGTAAATTTGATAAATGCATCAGGTAAACTTTTTTTTTATTTCCAAGATTTTTGGCATTAAAATCCAAAATTAATAAATTTAAGAAGGCCTTTACGGAGGGTTATATGGAGGTTATGGATGGGGCGCTGCGCCGTACTGGCATTCCCATGACGGGCATGAAGGTTGGAATGGACAACACGGTCATCATGGGCATGGAGTACATCATGATGGATATGGAAAACATGGGGATTGGGGACATGATCGGTATGGAAATGATGGATGGGGACATGGCTACAAACATAAAGACAATCACGGTAGGGAAGAATTTTGTGTTTTCTAATAATATTGTTTCGGCTTGGAAAACAATTCCGGAAAATACAACTTTATGAAACGTGTGTTTTAGAAATATGTATTTCTGTTATAATAAACTTGTGTTTTATTAAAAGTTGTGTATTTTGTATTTTCCGGAACATGTATTTTCCGGAAGTTTTTACAAAACTTGTATTTTCCGGAAAGATGTATTTTATAAAATTTCTGATTTAAACAAAAGATAAAACACAAATTTGTTTAAGACGATGGACACGCAGCCGGTTATGCAAAGGGTGACAAATCAGACTGGTCTAATTATCAATACGGAGGCCAAGGAAATAAGGCACAAGGGGATTCGTATGCTAAGGGATATAATAGTGCTTGGGGTGATGGACATGTTAGTTTAAAAAAATTTTTTTAATAAAAAAATTAATTTAAAGGATGATGGAACTGACTACAAACATGCCCATGGAGATGGACATGACAGGCAAAAAAAAATTTTTTATAAAAAATTAAAATATTCCCCATTTAAAATAAAATAAAAATAAAATTTTATAGCGGTTGGGGATCCCACAGTGGACATCATGATGACAAACATTGGGACGGTCATGGAGGAGATGGGCATTGGGGAGGTCATGGAGGACATAGTCACCATGGAGGAGGAGGATATGGTCATGGAGGAGGATATGGACATTGAGTACTATTAGAATGAAGAAAAGAAAAAGAAATTTTGATTAAAAAAATTTAGAAACGATTAAAAGATAGGTGACATTTGATCCCTCCTATATACTCTCCCTCTACCCCTCTCTTTAGAAAATTTAGTTTAGTAATAATTCTTAGGTTAGTTTTAGAAAAATAATAATAAATTTAGATAATTTAGAATTAAATAATTAAATACCCCTCCAATTAAATCATTTATTATAGCCAAATAACTCATTATTCCCCTACTGATCCCTTGTGATTTTACACATATATTTGTAAATTTTGATGAAAATATAAAAGAATAAATTTTAAAAAATTAATTTTTTTACCTGGAACTCTTTGCTCTCCTTTATAGTAATTTGACATTTTCTAAATTCCCCCAATCGTGGCTTTCCCAGTTCAGCAATTTCTAATTGATCAGGCGTTAAATTCATTAAATTCTCATCTGAAATTTAAAAAAAATAGAAAATAATTTAAAAAATATTTTTTTGGTTAATTTAAGAAAGACTAGGACATATTTAAAAGCAATTATTTTCTCTAATTTTTTTATTAAATAATTTTTATAAATATATTTTTAATTAATTAATGTTTCTGCTTGCCCTTATGTTTTTTACAATTACAAAAGAAAGCTAAAAGCGTTTGGGACAGAAAGCAAAAAAGCAAAACAAGCTAGGAAAGAGGAAAATGTGTTTATGTAAAATACAAAAGAAAAATACAATGTTTGTATTTCATGTTTTTGTTAAAAACATGTTTGGGCTACAAAAACACAAACAAATTGTTTGCAACAAATAAAATGTTTGCAACAACAAAATGTTTGTAACAAAGTAAATGTTTTACAAATTGTAAATGTTTTTACAAATTGTAAAATGTTTCTTTACAAATTGTAAAATGTTTTTACAAATTGTAAAATGTTTTACAAATTGTAAAATGTTTTACAAATTGTAAAATGTTTTACAAATTGTAAAATGTTTTTTTACAATTTGTAAATGTTTTTCTTAAAACTTTAATAAATTGTAAAACATGGAAAAACACATTTAAAAATACAAAGCAAAAATTACAAATGAGACATTTAAACAAACAATTGTGAAAAACATGAAAGAAAATACAAAACATCAAAATACAATAATTACAACAACAAAAACACAAATTAACCTGAATTTTCTTTATCTTGCGATGTTTGTCCAAACCAAGAATTAACTCTTTTTCTGATTGATTTGTTTTGTTTTTTGTTTTCATTTTCAGAAGACATCTCTGGGCTCAACAAGTTTGTTTGGCCGCCTGTGTCTTACAAAACATGGGAAACATGTAAAATGAAGAGAAATAGTAAAAATAGAGAAAATAATGAAAAAATATGAAAAAATGTGAAGAAAAAAGGAAATTTTAGTTGAAAAATATTAAAAATAAATTTAAATGATTTTTTGATTTTTCGTTTAATTTTGAGGGTTTTTAATTTTTTAATTTCTAAAAAAAATTTTTTTACCTTCTCCCAAAGTACTTGTAGTGCTCTGACGTCTATTATCAAAACTTTTGTTTAACCGTTGTTGTTCATTTAATGCTGCAGAACTAGAACGGCGTTGTTGATCAGCAGACGAAGCCCTTTTTCTTTCCATACGTCGATGGAACCGTTCTTGGACTTTTTTCATATCTAATTATTTTTTTGAAAAATATTTTGAATATAAATTAAAAAGCAACATAAAAATGAAGCTTTTAGGCAGATTAAAATTGAAGCAAATAATTTTAGTTTATTAAGTTAATTAATTTTTAATGTGTTAATTTTTTATTTAATTTTATTTCAAAATATTTTTCTTCAAAAAAATTTTTTTCCAGAAAATTAAAAATTAAATTGCTTGAACTGAATGATAGAAAAGTGTAAGGAGAAATGAAGCAAATACATACAGTAAGGTGCAAAAGTTTGGAACATTTTGTTGTAATTTAGTTAATCAATAAATTTTCGTTCATTTCTCAACGAATGAGCTGGATTAAATTTTTTTAAATTAAATATAAGTGTTATCTATAGAATGAAAATAAAAGTTTTTAAATATCTTCAGATATTCTTATATTTTATCCTTAAAATATTTTATACCTAAAAAATAAGGGGTGCAAAAGTATGGAACATTTTTGATTTTGTTGTATTTTTATGGAAAACTCCAACGAAAAAAATCTATAAAATTTTCATCGTTCAAAGATAATGATATTGTAAAAGAATAAAAAGAAACTGTGTCCATATCGTTACTCTAACCGGAGATCATGACACCCCGGAAATCAATGTAAAATAGGGGTAAATCACTTAAAAAATATTTTCGACCTCTTATGGGTCATTCTGAATTTCGATTTTGGGCTTATCTGAAAGCCCTTGAAATTTGCTACAAGATAGGTATAATTTTACTTTTCAGGAAAAATCTATTCGGGTGATATAGACCCTTTTATTTTTGAAAGGTCATTTTATGGGGCATTTAGGCGTTTTTTGTTGTATCAGAAAGATAAATGGTCACAATCTCGCTATCAAATTTTTTCTTAAAAATTATATTAATGCTATCTTAAAGCAAATTTCAAGGGCTTTAAGATAAGCACAAAATGAAAGTTCAAAACTATCCATAAGAGGTCGAAAATATTTTTTTAAGTGACTTACCCACATTTTACGTTGATTTCAGGGTAGCGAGATTTCGACAATGAAATGAGATATGGGCCTAGTTCTCCTTTATTTTACTTTATTATAGATCAATATGCTTGCATGAATTTTTCTAGATTTTTTTATTAAGATTTTGACATTAAAATATAATGAAATCAAAAATGTTCCAAACTTTTGCACCCCTTATTTTTTAGGTATAAAATATAAATAGGGTAAAATATAAAAATATGCGAAGCTTATTAGAAACATTTAATGTCATATTAAAGACAACACTTATAGATATTTTTAAAAAATTTAATCCAGACGATTAACTGATAAATGAAAGAAAAATTATTGATTTACTAATTTAAAGCAAAATGTTCCAAACTTTTGCTCCTCACTGTATGTAAAAAACAAAAAAGCAGAGAAAATTAAAAAAAAAAGAAAATTAAAAAAATGTTTAATAAAAACCAAATATAATTTAAAAACAAAAAAACTAAAAATCAACACAGAAAAAATATTTATGTAAAAATATAATTAGACAAGGTAAAAAGTAAGTAAAAGAGAAAGGCTAGCAGAAGCAAAAAAGCAATATTTTATTAATTTTTTAAAATTAGATTTAATTAGTTTCCCAGGATTCCTTATTTGTTATTTTTTATTTGTTTTATTAAGCGTTAAAAGAAAAAAAACTTTAAATTCTGTTATTTTAAAAGTTTATATGTGTTTTGTGTTTTTGTTGTTAATCAGGTGAAAAAATGTATTTTGTTAAGGTTGTATTTTATTAAATTATAAAGTGTTTTCCGGAAAATGTTTTTAAAAAAATACATTGTTGCTTCCGGAATTTTAAAGTTCCGGAAAGTGTGTGTTAAAATACAATAGTTTGAATGTATTTTTTCCGGAAAATGTTTTAAAAAAGAAATACAAAATTCCGGAAAGTGTGTGTTTTTACTGTATTTTTTCCGGAAATGTGTTTCTAATAAAATACAAAAAGAAAATAGGTAATTTGCTTACCGGACATCTTTTTAGTCCAAACAGGCGGTGACAATTCCAAATAGAAAAAATCTGAGCGTTCGTATTGTTCGGTATCAACAATTCCAATATCAATAAAGGCCCTAAATTTTATTTTATAAAATTAAAAAAATATTATTTAAACTCACTCAGTTTGATTATCCTCAAAAAGGATTTCTCCGCTTTCTTTAGCTTCATAATGTTTACCGGTGGTAGCAGACCCGTCGTAAGTTCTTAAATTGTATTTTTAAAAATAATTTAAAAATAATATTGAAAAATTAAAATTCCGGAAAATATGTACATTCCGGAAAAGTTGTTTAAAAATACATCAACAATGAAACACATGAGTATTTTCCGAAATATACATAGTTAAATTAATTTTAAAAATAAAATTTCCGGAAAATATTCCGGAAAGAATAATAAACATCACAAAACACATGAATATCCTTTTCCGGAAAGTTATATTATATTTTCTTTTTCCGGAATATATTACAAAATTATTAAGTTTACTTGTAAGGCAGTAAGACTTGACCCCTACATCCACTTGTCCTTTGCACCCTGAGAGTTATATGTCCACAATTTTCAACAACTTGAAAGTGATCGTATTCAAATGAAAATACACCAGCATGGTCATCATCTGAGTATTTTACATAAATTTATTTTTCAATTTTTTTAACAGACCAAGAATCATAATTGTTGCGGTAGTAGGCATTTCCAGCAGAGCCAGAGGAACACCTCCTAACCTTGTAGGGTCCTAAAAATATATTTTCTATATCCACCTTTCAATGGGAAGAAATAACCAAAATAAGGCCATCACGTGTACGAACTCTCAAATTTGTTAAATGCAAATAAAAGTGTTCGTCTTCTTCGAAAACATCGTCATCCACAATTTCTAAAAAATTAAAAAATTTTCTAAAAAATAAAGTTTATTTACCAATAGGTATTTTGCAGTGCCTATCCTCAGGATAAAACGTTAAAGTTCCTTTAGCAGGTTTATAATCACTTCCCGCGTTGGCTGTTCCATCCTCTGTATAATAGTCAACCATAACTGTTAACCCCTCTGGACCGCCATCTCGGCCAACAACAACGTCTAAAATATAAAATGTTTTAAGTTTCGAGAAATGTGTTTTGCACATTTAAATTTATGTTTAGATAAAATACAAAATCTTTCGGAATGTGTTTTCCGGAAATATTAAATTGTATTTTTTCATCAGGTTTAAAATACAATCTTTCTGTATTTTCCGGAAAAAGTAAACACAATACTACTATGTTTGTTTCCCCATAAAACAAACATTGCTATAAATTAAAAAGTAAATTGTTTTTTAGAAAAACAATAAAATGTTTCCGGAAAACCATATAAATATTTTACAAAATTAAAAAAACACAAATATATCCTCAACCCACCAAAAGTCCCAACATTCTCCAAAACTGTATAATGAGCTGGATCAAAAAATATTCTACAAGTATTATGCCTAGCTTGTCTTTCTTGTGCTTCGATAACAATATCCAAAGCCTTGTCATGCTCTCTCGCCAGTCGTTTTCTAACAATATCGCCCCCACCAACAAGTCTACGAGTTGCCTGGACCTTTTTTGAAGAATAAATTTATTTAATTTTTCTAAGAATATTTTAATACCCTATAGAAGGCACGTGATTTTGGTCCTTTACTGATCATTTCATATTCAGCCTGGGAGAAGGAATAATTTTTTTAATAATTTTAGTCAATTCAAAACTTGTTTTTGTAATTCTTCTGGCTCCATATGAGGATTTTTTCTTCTAAGCTCTCTCATTGTTTCAATAAATTCACGACGATGTTCCTCAAAGGCACGCAATGCTGGGTCCATGCCATCTTGTCCCCAATAACGATAGTCGTTTGTTGCCCAGAAAATTTAAAAAATATTGAAGGAAGGAGAGATATTTTAAGAAAACACAAAAAAACACATTTAAAGAAAATGTGTTTTCCGGAAAGATGTTTTAAATTAATTTTCCGGAAAAAACAACGTTTTAAATTCTCCAAAACATGTTTTTAATGTTCTCAGAAACAAACATGTTTTTAATTTTCGGAATGTTTAAACTATGTTTTGTTGTTTCCCAGGTGTTTTTAAAATGTTTAGAACAGAATAGAATGTTTTTAAGAATGTTTTAAACAAAATACTTGTTTTTCTGATTTTTATTTAAAACAAATTTAATTCTAAAAACTAACGACTCAATAGCAGAAGCATTAGTTAAGGCGCTTGTTCCATTAGTAGTTTCAAGCATTTTAAGCTCTTCTCCCTCAGTTGCTATCATTCCGTGAGACCCACGACGATAACGATGAGGCACAAATTTTTTCTTAAATTTAATAATTTTTTAATTAATAAATTCAAAGCAAAATGCCTGTATTAATTTAATATCAGCAATCCAAGCAGTTAAAACAGTAATAGGAAAGAAAGCAAAAGTTACTAGTCCTTCCCATATTTCAATAACTCCAGGGGAAAAATAAGCTAAAATTGCCCACAACCAAACATAAGCAAATATTGACCATGTTGCAGTAACAAAAAATACATCCAAGTGTTTTTGTCTTCTAACTTCTTTTGGGGGGACAGCAGAAACACAAATAGCAATAATCATAAATAAATTAAATGCTGCTGAACCGACTGAAAATGTATTTTGTATTTTTTAATTTAATTCAAATATTATTTGGGTCAAGAAAATACAAGGAAAATGTTTTCCGGAAAATACAATTAAAACAAGTTTATTTTCTTAATTAATTTTGGTTGTGTTTTAAATAAATTCTGGTTGTGTTTTAAATTAATTCTGATTTTTGTATTTTTCCGGAAAATACAAAACAAGCTGTATTTTTAAATTAATTCTGATTTGTTTTTAAATTATGTAATTCTGATTTTGTTCGAAATTAATTCTGATTTTATTTAAGAAATATTCCGGAATGTGTTTTCCGGAAAATCATCCAGTTTATTAAAAATAATTAAATATTTAAGCAAATAAATAACCAATAGTATTAGGCCCCAAATCGCCTGCTTCAAAACCTTTTCCGACCACCTCAATTATTGAAAGGAGTATCTCAGGTGCAGAAGACCCTAGTGCCATAAGCGTTAAGTTGGACACCTTTAATTTAAATATTTTATTAATTTTCAAATTTAAAAATTACAGTATCGTTCCATATTCTCACTTTGACTTTGGCTGGAGGAAGACCTAATCTTTTAACTACAACAGTTCTTTCCATACTTGTAATGACCTAAAAATATTTGTAATAATTATTTGCGAGTACTAATTTTTATGTGAAAAGGAGTTTTACGGAAAACTGAATTCATTGTATTTCTTGTTTTCCGGAAAATAAACTGGGAAAAAAGTGTTTTCTTATCTAAACAGACTTTTCCGGTTTTATATTTTACTATAAATAAATGTGTTTTCCGGAAAACACATTAACATTTGTATTGTGTTTTTCTAAGTTAAAAGATTTTCCGGTTTGTTTTAAAATTATTCCGAAATGTGTTTTCCGGAAAATAAATTATTAATACACGTATTTTGTTTCTAACTTAAACAAACATTTTCCGGTTTCATTTAAAAATATAATAAAATGTATTTTCCGGAAAAATATTAAATTCATAGTATTATTCCGGAAAACACATTAACATAATTAAATATTCTCAAATGTGTTTTCCGGAAAAACATTAAATAAACTATAAAAAATACAAACTTCAATACTCGACATAAACCTATCAGCAACAATAGAAACACCCAAAAACAAATATGCAATAACAAAAAAATATATTATTCCTCTCAAAAATCTATCTTCAGTCCCCAAATCTAAAAAAGGTTTCCATATAGGTACAAGCATTCCATCAACACAATTTCTTGTTGAATCTGCTTCTGTACAATTAGTGCCAGCATTAACTGGTTGAATAATTAATAAAAGAGTGAAAATGCCAAAAAATAACAAAAAATGATTAGAAAAATATTTTGGTGATTGTTGTTGTTGATTAAATGAAGAAATAAATGTTGGGAAGGATGAAGAGGAGGAAGGGGAGGAGGGAGAGTAAAATTGTCTCCTCCACCTTTTCTTCCTCATCAATCCATCGCTGTACATCCAGAAAAGGTATTAAAATCTTTGAAAAAAAATTTTGAAAATTTTTAAAATTAAAATTTTTTAATAGTTAAGAGAAGACGGATAGATATAAAAACTAAAAATTATCTAAATCACCTTAATAAAATTTCTCTTGGGGAGATTTATGAAATAAAGGTAGGTATATCAGTTAAGGAAAACATTAATTCTTGTAGAGAGAAAATCTGGAAAAAATGTATGAGAAAAAATACAATTCCGGAAAGAAAATACAATTGCAAGTATTAAAGAAAATACAAAAATACCATTCCGGAAAAACACATTATTCTGTTTAAGAGAAAAACGCATTCCAGAAAACATTAAAAACTTTAAATTAGAGCCCGGCCGGAGGGGTTGGTAGATATTCAATATAAAAATATTAGAAAAGTCAAAATTTTCTCGGTCGATTATCGAGCCATATTCTTCTCCGTATATTCTTTTCCGGAAAGTATTTCAACAGAAAATATATTCTGAAGTTTACAAATGATGATGCTTTTCCTAAATTTATTTATTAAATGATTTTTAAGACTAAGAAAATAAGAGGATTAGGAAAAAATAAAAGAAGGCGAATTTTGAGAAAGAAAAAGTGAAAAGTTTGTAAATGAGTAGAAATAAAATAAAAAAGATCGTCTGCGCGGTTAAACAGCTTTAACAATTTTTTATTCTTTTTTTCTTTTTATTTTTTAAAATGAAATTACCGCTAACATGAAGCAACAGAAAATTTTTTGAGTTAGAAAAAATGAGGAGAAAAAAAAATTATAGAAGAAAAAAACTAGGTAGGTGGGTGGGTGAATGAAACACAAAAGAAGAAGAAGAAAATAAATTTAAATAAATATACGCAAAAAAATGTATTCTGAAAAAACACAAAGAAAACACAAAGAAAATACAAATTCTGGAAAAAACACATAAAATACACATTTTGTCCTTTTGCTCTTTTAAACTTTGTTTTACTTAAAAATCAAGTGTGTGTTTGTGTTTTCTAGCCATTTCTTTTTTTCCGGAAAAACACAAGGTTGTTAAGTTGTTTTAAAGAGATTTTAAAAGTTTTTAGATAATTTCCAATATTATTATAAATTCTTAAACCACTTGAAAAAAATAATTTTAAAGTTAAAGTTGAGAAGTATAAACTCAAAAAAAATTTTTTTTTGAAGTGTGCCGGGAATATTTTTAAAGAAAATTGACAAAGTCAAGAAGCCTTTCCCCTTCTTATGTAAACAATTGGAGGTAAAATAAAGGTATCATTGTCGTGTGAAAAGCAGGAGAGAAACAAAACGGAAAATATAGAGAAAATAAAATATTTTTTAAAAAATATTTTGAAAAATATTCTAAAAAATATTCCCAAGATTTTACGAATTTATGCGTGGGGAAAAATGATATTTAGGGGGGGGGGGGTATTTTAATTTAACAAAAAGTGTTTTCCGGAAATTTTAATTTAATAAAGAAGTGTTTTCCGGAAAATAGAAAATACAAGTAGAGATAGAAAAATACATAACACAAATCCGGAAAATACATAGAACAGAAAAAATACAAAACATTTCCGGAAAAAGAAAATACAATTCCTAAAAACACAAACACATTAGTGTTTTTAATTTAAAACCGGAAAGTGTATTTTCCGGAAAAATGTTAGAGACAGAAAAACACAGTTGATTTCAGAAATTCTTTATAATAGTCATTTCCGGAAACTTAAGTTTGCGAACTTAAGTTTCCGGAAACTTAAAGTTTTAATGGTTTTACTTAGCTAAATTTTATTCAAATAAAATAAAAGAAAGGTGTGTGTATAAATTTTCCATTAAATTTGTTTAGACATTTAACTAACCGGAAAATCTTAAAAGTTTTTTTGTCAAAAGTGCCGAGAGGGGAATTGATGAGAAAATAGGATTTGTTGTTCCCTAGAGAATAAAAAAATTTGATTTGATTTGCTTTTCTTTTATTTTTTTTTATTAATTTTCTTCATTTTAAAAGGAAATGAGAAGAAAAATAAAGTTAAAATTTAATTGATATTTTTTTAAAAATTTCAGCAGAACAAAAAAATTTTTTTTAATTTTTTAAATTTTTTTTTACTTTTATTTTTTATTAATTTCATTCGCATTTTTCATATTTTTATTTCATTCACTAAAAATTATTATTTACTATTTTATGACGAGATAAACCGAAAAATAAATATATATTATAGGCAATAAATTGTTCAAGTGCTTTGTCGGCATCGTCATTGCCTAATGGGCATAATAATATAAAAAATGAAAGGTGGTTGGAAATAAAAATGAAAAAAAATTTTTTAAGGTGTTTAAAGAAGGGAGAAATGAGGCGAAAATATAAGTGATTGAGTGGAAGAAAAAGATCCGGAAAAAATACAAGGAAGTAAAATATATAGACAACGGTTAATTTGTAAAAACACAAATTGAAAAGAAAATACAAATCCGGAAAATACAGAATATTGTGTTTTTGTTTAATTCTGATATAATTTTTGTGTTTTTTTCGGAATTTTATTTAAATGTATTTTTAGGATAAGTTTTTCCGGAAAATACAAGTATTTTGTATGGTGAAACACAAAAAATGTGTTTAGAATCCGGAAAGTAAGTCTATTTGTATTTTCCGGAATTTTCTTTAAGTGTATTTTTAAAAAGTGTTTTCCGGAAAGTTTAATTAGTATTGGATGTTGAAAAATAATTTTAAAAACAACTTATAATTAAAAAATAGAGAAAGAAGGCAAAAAAATTAAATAAAAATATTAAGATAGGGCAAATCAATCAATTAATAAATATTAAAGACTCGCGCAGCTTAATTTTTTATTTATTTTTATATTCAACCTAATCTTTTATTTTTCCCTTTTAATGAAGCATCGTTAATGAGGATAAAAATACAAAAAAAAATAAAATTAAAAAGAATTATTTTATTTTCTTTATAAATTTTTAAATAAGAGAAAAATACAAAAAATTAAAAAACTGGCAAAAAAATAAGTTTTTTGGAGGTTGGTAAAAACAAAAGAAAATGATGGTATCAAAAGGTGTAGTTACGTCAGTTAAATAAAAAATTTTATCTTTAAATGTTATCTAAAAATTATTTGTTGAATGGTAGGCCTCTTTTGAAATAAAAAATTTAAATTTAAATTAGTAAACTTTGGTTGTTGTTGAAAATTGCAAAAATACATTTGTTCTAGTATTTTTAAAACACAAGAAAATAAGCCGGAAAACCCAACCGGAAAAACACAACGTTTCCGGAAAAACACAATTTTTGTGTTTTAAACAAAGTTTGTTTTAACACAAACATTTATTTTTCAGAACAATTAAATTCTGATTTATATTCTGTATTTTCTTAAATAAATTCTGATTTTTATTTTTATGTGTTTTTCCGGAAATAATTCTGATGTTACTGAAATGTATTTTCTTTCCGGAAAAGTTTAATTCTGGTTTATAATGTGTGTGTTTAAAAAAAAATTTCCGGAAAACACAAGTTGTGTTTTAATTAAATAAAAACATGTGTATTTTCCGGTTACAATGTTCGAATATTCTTTAAATCGAAAACACATTAAAACTTGAATTAAAATAAAAACACAAAACATTAAAAATTATCGTAAAATAAAATAAAAACTTGGAAGGTTTGAAAGGCAACAAAACTTGAGGAGAAAAAATATTTTTAAAAAGAAAAACTTGGAATAAAAATGACAAACCAATAAAAATAAGAAAAAGTGCAGAAATTTAGTCAAACCTAAAACATGTGTTTTGGACAATAAAAAAAATTTTTTTAACGAAGAAGATCGATCTATCTCGTTAATTTTTTAAAAATTATTGGTGAACAAGGATTAAAAAAGATGATTTTATTTTTTTTAAATTATTAAAATTTAATAAAAAAAACCACTTTTTTGGTAGATGGGGTGAATCGAGATGAGTAGACTAAAATTTAAGAATTTGGTGGGAAATACATAATGGCCCTCATTTTACTAGACCAAAAATAGGGTAAAAATTCTGAGTTATACAACATATCTCTGAAAATCAGGTCGATCCTCATGCGCCAAAAAGTGCCCCATAATTAATTAACTGTATTTTCCGTAAAAATTAAATTATTGTGTTTTGTTGCATTCAGTAAAATGTTTGAAAGTTTCCGGAAGCATTTAAATTAAATTCCGGAATCACTATTATAATTATAAGTAAATTCCGGAAGATGTTCAGATGAAATTCTGATGTTTTATTTAATCCAAAAAGTTTCCCGAAAAAGTGTTTTGTTTTAATTAAACGATAAAACAAAATTTCCAAAAATTGAAAAGCTTTGGATTAAAAAAGAACAAAAAACCTTTTTTTTTCACATTTTTCCCACACATAATTAATTTTAAATTTATTTCTAAATTTGGAAAAAATGTCCAAAAATTTTTCCAAATTTATTTTTCTCTTAATTTGGCATTTAATTTTTTATAGTCTTGTTCTTTTTATTTAAAATTTTCACATGGAGTTAAATTTTAAAAAATTTTATTTTTAAAATAAATTAGTAAATTTAAGAGTATTTTAAAATAAAATTTAAAAAATTCCAAAATTCTAGAAAATATTTCCCGTTAATTTTCCACCTGTAACTCCCTACTGTATATCAAAATAACAACAAAATGATGTCAGATAAAAGATTAATTGACTAATAAAAAATAGGGAATAATAAAATTCTATTTTATGGAGGGTATTTTACATATGTTTTGTCTCAAAAATTATTGCGCGATAAAAAAAAATAAAAATGGCAAAATATGTTAGCGCACCTGGCATTTTTCTTATTAAAAATTATATTCTCATTTAAAAATACAAAATTAAGAAAACACGCACAAAAAGAAGTAAATAACAAGGTGGATTAGAAATACAAAAAAAATCTATTGAAAATGAGAAGAAATATTAAATTAGATGTATAAATCAGAATTTAATATTTCAGAAAAAATACATAAAAATAAACACATCAGAATTAAATATTCTGAAAAGAAAATACAAAGAAAATACAGAAAATACAAAATATTCCGGAAAAATAAATTCCATTAAAAATCAGAATTTAATATTTTCCGGAAAGGAAAAGAGAGTATAAACCAGAATTTAGCCATTCCGGAAAGAAAATACATTTCACTAACATCAGAATTATTTCCGGAAAACACATAAAAATACAAATCAGAATTTATGAAAGAAAATACAGAGTATAAATCAGAAATTAATAGTTCTGAAAAATTTAATTAAAAATCAGAATTTAGTGTTTCCGTAAAGAAAATGTGTGACTAATAATTGTAAATAAACAATTAAAAATTTATTCTGAAATAATTGTTTTTAAAATTAAAAAGAGTAATTAATTTCAACAATAATTATGACCTAAAAGGATCGCGCAATTATCCCAATTATTTTTAAAATTAAAAAACAAAGTGGCTTTAATTGTTAAAAATAAAGGAGTTATTTAAACCTTTATTTTGAGGCTAAATTGAAGGAAATTAAGAGAAAGATTGAAAAAAAAATTGAAAAAAATAAAAAGGAAGTTAGGAAGCCTCAACTGTAAAATAATACGAAAAAATTTTAAAAACAAAAGAAATAAAAAAAGTAAATAAATAGAGCAAAGTTAAGAATTTTAGAGTAAATGTTGGGAATAAAAAGAATATAAAGTTAAATTTAATTTCCGATAAGATGTATTCTGATATTTATTGTGTTTGTTTAGAAAAAAATAAATTGTATTTTTATTTTAAATAATGTTGCGTGTTTTTCTGAAAATTAATTCTGAAAATTTAATTCTGAAAAATAATTCTGAAATTTAATTCTGAAAATTTAATTCTGAAAAATAATTCTGAAAATTAATTCTGAAAATTAATTCTGAAAAATAATTCTGAAATTTAATTCTGAAAATTAATTCTGAAAAATAATTCTGAAATTTAATTCTGAAAATTAATTCTGAAAAATTAATTCTGAAAATTAATTCTGAAAATTTAATTCTGAAAAAATAATTCTGAAAATTAATTCTGAAATATACTCAACATTTCTGAAAAACAATGTTTAAAAATAATTCTGATTGGTGTTTTGTATTTTCTGATTTATTGTTTTTGTGTTTTTGTGTTTTCCGGAAAACATTTAGGTTTGTGTTTTATTCTTTAAAAACTTTGTTTGAAAATAATTCTGATTATATTGTTTGTTTATGATAATTGTTTTTGTGTTTTCCGGAAAAATATTTATGTATGTGTTTTATTTTATTCCTGAACACATTTTTGCCCTCAATAAAATGTTTTAAATTTTAAGGAAACATACGAAAATTAAAAATTTAATTCCAAAAACATGTGAACATTAAAGAAAAAAAACAAAGGTAAGAAAAACATTTCTTCCTCGCTTACAAAAAGTCTTTTGTCTGCAATAAAGGGGCATAATATACCTAATAATATTGGCAGAAACTAGTAAGCTTATTCCAAAAGTTTCTCAATTGATTTTTGATTGACTATATTTTTTTAACTTTTTTTTCTCCTTTTCTTTATTTCCTCATCTAAACCCCCTTGGGTCTTTTCTAACGAAGTTTCTCTCTCCCCTCTCCTTTTCATTTAGCCTGACGACTGTTGCTGTTTTTATTTTCTCCTTTTATTATGTGCCAGCCTTTCTTTCCCTTTCTTTATTTCCTTATTACATGAATGTTTTTTTTCTCTTCTCTCTTTTTATCTTTTCTCTCCTATAATTTTTTTCTTTTCTTTTGTAGTTTCGTAATTTCAAAAATTGTTTTCTTGTTTTTGATTGTTTATTCTGGTTTTTTTAGGTTTTTTAGGTTCTTTAGGTTCCTTTATGGAGCAAAGTTCTTCTAACCTCGACTTGGATAATTACAATGAAAATAGAGTAGATGATGCTTTAATGGAGGGTTGTTCTTCTACTTTTGGTATTAGATAGGGGTTTATATAGGGAGAAAAAACTATAACAATTTTTAAGAAATTCCATCATTAGCAATTCCATCATCATTAGCAGATTCACAACAGATGTTATTACAGCGACTTAAAGAATCACAAAAATTGTTGAAACAAAAATCACTTTCCGTTCCCGATTTCTCTAGTATGTTTACCTTTGCTGAGACCACAAAAGGTAGACCTATTCATACAAACTTTCTATTCTCTAACATTTTTAGTTCAAAATATTTTCTCAAAAAAATGCTTCTTCTGTGAACAAGAGTTTTTTGATTGTGTCCGAATCAGGCATTACAATTCCAAAAATTGCAAAATCCAAAACTTTTATACAAACGGGTGGTCACTACAATTTGAGGAAGTATTAAATAATGACGATCTACCTAATACAGACACATTGTTTGATTTTTCGGAGGAAGGCCCTTATTTAGTAATACCCCTTTTTTTCTTTTCATACAAATATTTTAGCTTTACATAGTGCGCAATGGAAATGAAATTTATAACATTAAATACTTTGGGGTCACATCACAAATATTAACAAATCGGATTTCGAAACACAAACACGAAGGGACTTTCAAAGAATTATCAAACTCAGCAAATGTAGAATACGGCTGCTTTTTAACAAAATTAAATAAAAAGACAGCATTATTTTTGGGTAAATTAAATAATATATTAAATAATATAAATTATTTTTCCAGAGGGGTTACTTATATTATCGTCGGAATTAGGCACAAATTTAATCAATAAACAATATGAATTTAAAAACATAGTTGATGGCTTAAATTGTGAAGAAATTAAAAACGACGAAGAAATGAAAAATGCTATTCTTGTTCATCACAAATCAGCAATTATATTACTGAAAGCAAAATGGTCTCAAATTAGATGGTTAAATTTTTTGTAATAACTGTTGATTTAATAAAAATAATTTTTGTTTTGACTTTTTTCCCGATTAAAAATTTTTATTTGTTTTTTATTGTTCTACTGACATTCTAGAAAATTACGTGGTGAATCCCTTTCATGGGTGAGGAGAGAGTTTGGACTTAAAACTTACTTGTAACACCCCAATTCCCAATTCCAGCCGGCGGAAGGGGATTTTGAGAGGTTTTGGTGGGTAAAGTGTGAATGTCACCACAATAGGTTATGGATGACAAAATAAAATAATAAATATTATTCAGTGATTCATTTTTATTTTTTATTGTCCAAACCAAAGCAGCAATTTTTTTAAAAATCTCTATACAAAAATAATAGTACATATTTTTCCGGAAAGAAAAAAAATTGAATAAAATACAAATTTAAATTTTCAGATATTATTTCAGAATTACTCAATTGTTCTGATTCTGACAGAAAATAAAATACATAAAACACCGAGAACCAAATACATGTATTTTCCGGAAAAATAAATGTTTTGGTTATCCGGAAAATAATTTAAATATTATGTATTTGCAATTGTTTTTCCGGAAAGAGAAAAAATACTCAGAACGTTAAATATATTTTCCGGAAGGAAGTTATGCTTTAATAATCAATCCGGAAAATAATTTAACTACAATGTATTTTCAGGGATGTGTTTTTCCGGAAAGATGTTTATTTTTCCGGTTGTTATGTGCTTGTTATGTTTTGTATTTTTGTCTTTTTCCGGAAAATATTTATGGAATAAAAATAAATGTGTTTTCCGGAAAATAATGCTTTAACCAATCTGGAAATAATCTAGGTAATTTTATGTGTTTTCGAGTATATTTTTCCGGAAAGAAAAAAAATTTAAATAAACAGAAAGAAAATACATATAATTTAAATATATTTTCAACAAAAGAAATATTTAAAAGTGCATATAAAAAGTAGAAAAAAAACTCGAGAGAGGGGAAAGGGGTAGAGATTTCATTTAATATATAAATAACAAATAAAAAATATTGAGAGGGAGAGTTTGGCAAAAGGAAGTAGACAATGATGAGCTTCTAAAGGAGTGAAGAAATTTTTTCTAGCCAATATTTTTTGGGAGAAAATGGGGCTGAAAAAAATGCCAATGTGGTTATGGGAAATATATATAACTACAAATAAATATAAATATAAGAAAAAATGAAGAAAGAAGAAGAGTCATTTTTAAAAAATAAAGGGGAAATTTTAAAAGAAAATTGCATATTTTAATAATTTATTGCTTGTTTTGTGGGTATAAAAAATGACGAAAGCAGAAGAAAAATTTTTAAAATAATTTTTAAATTTTGAAGATATTTAAGAATTAAAAATAAAAATTAAAAAAAAAAATAATTTTGCTTGGAAACAATAAAAAAAAAGTTAATTTTAAACGGAATTATTTCAGAATTAATTTCAGAATTCTGATTTATACACCTGAACTTTCAGAACAATTAAATTCCGGATTATTCTCTATATTCTATTTCATAAGTTCTGATTTGTATTTTTCCGGAACTTTCTGATTTTATGTATTTTCTTTCCGGAATTGTTAAATTCTGGTTTATACTCTCATTTCTTTCCGGAAATATAAATTCTGATTTTAATTTAATTTATTTTTTCCGGAATATTTTGTATTTTTTTGTATTTTCTTTTCAGAAATATCTAATTCTGATGTGTTTATTTTTATGTATTTTTCCGGAATTATTGAATTCTGATTTTAATTCAGAATAATTTTCAGTAAAATACTCTCCCTATTAGAACAACCCAATTAATCTTTGCGCAATATTTTAGATCATTTAAGAAAGGCTTAGACAATTAAATATTAAAAAAAATAAAAAAGACGAAGCATTGAGCAAATAAAAATAAAATAAGTTTATAATGGGGAAAGCTTCTCCTGACATTTTTTAAGTCGAGGTAAAAATAGGGTTAAAAAGTAAAGGGAAGGTATAAAATTGAACAAAAAAAATTTTGTTAAAATTAAATTAAAATTAAGGGGAACTAAAATTAATTTAAAAAAATCACACAAATTTTTTAAGAATGGGGTTGATATAATTATAGCAAAAAAATAAGGTTATCAGCGATATCTTAGAGGAGATTTGGATATATTCGGAAAGGTAAAGAATTTTAATAAATATTTATCATTTAAAAAGAGATTAAAAATATTTATTTTTAAATTTTTAAAAATATAAAAAAAATATGTATAGATATCCAGGTGAAAGAAAATTACGTTTAGGAGGAATTAGTAAAAGCAACAGAGCAAATAATAGCAAAAGAAGCCAAAAAGTCTAAAAGTCCGTTTCCCTCTTTTAACTCTTTCTCTACCCTCATTTTGACGCGAGAGTGAAAATGAGGATAGTGAAAATTTAAAAAAATTTAGAGAGAAGGGAAGCTTTGGGACTAACTATAACTCTCTCCTTTATTTTTTAAAGCTGGACTGATGCCAGCCAAGGAGAGAATAAATAGAAAAGGAACCGTAAAAAAAAAGAGCATCTTTTATTTTTATTTAGTCCATAAACACACAAAAAATGAAAAATAAAATAAAAGAAAATTTTACCTAGGCGGATCATCTTTCAGAAAAATAAAGGTTTTTTGTTTTTTTTTTGTTTTTATAATTTAGTCTGTTTATTGACTAATGGGAAAATTCAGAATAAAATTTTGTGTTTTCAGAAAGATAAAACAAAAATACAAATTTTCCGGAAAATAAATAATTGAAATTCCGGAAGAAAATACAAGCAAATACAAATATTCCGGAAAATACTTTCCGGAAATTAAATACGAATTAGTAAACTTTCCGGAAAAATAATTGTTGTAATTCCGGAATAAAAATACAGGAAAAATACAATTCCGGAAAATAGTATACAATTTCCGGAAAAATAAAAATACAAGTAAAACAACCTTTCCGGAAATATACATCGAAATTATTATTTTCCGGAAAAAATTACAGAAAAAAGAAAGAAAAGGGAAAATGGAGAGACGGTAGAGACAAAATAAAAATATATTGTTAGCTTATTAAATTCTCTATTACACACAAAAATACAAAACTTATTGTTTTTCTATTAGACATTTCTTGGGACAAATAAAAGCTAGACACACACAAACTTATTTTCAACTTTAAAACCAAGTTTATACTTTTCTAACTTAAAAATCCCTTTGGTAAACAATTTAAAGTTAAAAAACTTGCCTGCGCAAAAGGCACAAATGCTTCTTAAAAATGCTAGAAAATTTTTTAACTTAAAATCTCTTCAAAATTCCACTTTTCGCTCATTTCTTTAATTTATTTTTAGAAGAAAAAATTGTAACTGATCCCCAAACAGTAATTCCCCAACAAAGTAAACTTTAAGAAAAATTGAGAGAAAATAGAAAAAAATATTTTTTCTAAAAAAATTTTTAAATAAAAATTTTTGGTGTCATGTTGCAATTGATAAAAGCGCAACAAGTTTCTTTTGTTTTTAAAACATTTAGTATTTTTTTCTATTTTTAAATAATTTTTTTATTTATAAGAAAAATTAATTTTTTGTAATTTTGTAGGACCTGTTTTATATTCCCTCTTGCTTTTAAATACAAATTTTGCTACTGGTAGTAGCTACGCCTAAGCCATACCCTCAAGCTTAGATTCTTTCGTTTTTGAATACGATTTATGAATTTCCCATCCTCCATTAAAGATTTTTAAAAAATTTTGTTTTGAATTAGCTAACATTTATTTTTTTACAAATAAAAATTTTCTAAAACAATTTATGATATGTATTTTATAATAATTTAAGTATTATAAAAAGAAAGTGCACGTATAATACCACAGTCGGACCTCACTCGCGTGTAAATCCTTGGGGCTACAAAAAATTGTCCAGTAAAATGAGGGACTTAATTTTGGGCAACTTCTCACTCATTCTTCTGGTCAACAATCAGATTCAAAAATGTACACTAAAGTGAGCGTATTAACGTTAATGGGGGTTCAAATAAATAAAGTCCACCTGAAACCGGCAAATGAAATAAATTTGAACTTTAATATTTATTTTATAAATAATTCTATTTAATTATTAAATTTTAATATAAATTAATATATATATCTGTTTTGCAGTAAAGGAGAAGATCACTAAAAATAAAATAAAGCTGCACAGTCAAAAATATAATTTTTTAAATAAATATTTCTTAAATTTTTTATTCAATCGACCGATCATTTTTTGCTAAAAAATAATTTTTAATACAAAAATAAATTATTTTCACCTGAAACATGACATACAACAGCTCTAACACCTTGAGATTTAAAAAAGTCTAACCAAATTTGTTGTTTAGTAGATAATTTGTCGTTAGGTCCTTTTACTTCTACTACCTACAAAATTAAATTTTTTTGAATTTTTATTTTCAAAAATAAATATTCACCAGGGATGCCACGGGTTACTACTTGAAGGGTACCAGATACCAGACAATCTAAGATAACAGTCATTTTTCTACAAGAAACCAGACCCAAAGAAAATTTTTTGAAACCCAGATCAGAAACCCTGCCTGGCTTTGTTCTCAACCCCGTGACATCCCTCTAATATTTACCGCTAATTTGCGATCCTCGGCATTCCAAAGGGTCAAATCAGGAAATCCACTACGGCTTTGGCGAAAATTTGAACACAACTTTTTAAATAAAGCATGTAACAAAACAGGTGAACAACAATGTAGAAAACGCTAGAAAAAAATTTTTTTTCTTAGAAAAATCACAATTTTATACCAAAAGTTGTTCTTTCCCTCCTTCAAAATCGTGCCATTCAATGGTAGAACTCCTTGCTGAATTCCCCATATTTTTTGCTAATTTTTCGTTGTAATGTTTGTCAACAGTTGAATGAATAAAGCATGGACAATGAACAGATTTACGAGGAGATTTACGTTGGGGTGATCCTGTTGAAGAAGGAATCCTTTCTTCAAATGTTGTTGAAGGAGTTTTGTTTAAGAGTATACATTCAGACAAGGATTCAAGAATTTTTTCAAGACGAGAATCAATTAAAGTTAAGCGATTTTCGTAGAACATTGTATAATTGAGATCTAGAGGGTCATTCTAAAAAATTAAAAATATTTGAGTGAATTGAACTTTATTATTAGATACATCCTTTGGGGCTGAAAATCGAACCTTATAATGAAGTCTATCTTAAATTGGGAGTATAATTTCTCTCAGGGATGTCTAGAATTACCCGAAATCGAATACTTATTGTTAGTGTTAGAAACCCAATCCGACAAAAATTTTGAAGACCAAAATTTTGAAGACCGATTCGAAACACGACTTTTTTCTCTCAACAAGAGATATCACTGCTTCATACTCAGTGATCAACCAAAATCAAAAAAAATTTTCTTTCAACAAGAGACATCCCTTATTCATACCAAGTGGCCAGTTAAAGTTAAAAAATTTAAAAAAAAACCAAGGGCCAAAAAACTGACCCTCTAAATCGCCCTTGCGGTCCTAATTTTGGGGGCATCTCATAGAGAAAAAATAGAAAAAAATCCCTCACTTGCATCCACGAAATCCAAACATTATTAGCCAACTCATTCTCAAATTCAACACACGAAATTATATCCCAAAAGAATAGTCGAAACAACATATGCCAAATTTTTCCCTCAGCATGTACTCCCTCCTTGTAATTTTCATTTTCAATGAAATGGCGTAATGCAATTTCTTCAACGTTACATTTATTTATATTTGTATTATTTAAATTTATTGGAGCTGTTGTTGTTTGTGTTGAAGGCTGTTGTTGTTCAAAAAGCCCTCCTCTTCTTGTAGAAGTAAAAGAAAAACAAGAAGAAGTATCTGAAGCTGACGACAAAGTATCTGATTGAATTGTAGTCTCTGGTTGAACATTTTCATTAAGATTAGGTTGAGTTGAAGTCGAAGGAATATAAAAATGGTTAACTTGAAGACCATCGCCTAGCCCCTTTCCTAATGTAAGTCCAGTAATTGAAACCTAAAAAATGAAAAAGAATTTCCTCTCAAATATTCTAGAATATTTTTGGTACTACGCGTTTATCCCCGCCTCTATTCTCCTTTTCCTCTCCTTTCTCCTCTCATAGATATTAAAAAATGGTCAAGCCAAAAATAATACTTTGTCTTATTTTAACTTTAATTTCCTCACTTTTCTATCTCATAATCATTAAAAAGTGGCCATGGCAAAAGTAATACCATGTCTTATTTTAACTATAGATTTGTCTGATCTTTACTTTAATTTGACCATTTTGTGATATTTAGAGAAGAAAGGAACCTGTAGACCCATAAACTCATAGTCCCTTTTATTTTAACAAACCTTTTCTGGTTCATCCAAAACCAAACGATTCTCCAACAAAGCCTGTGGACAGTCCACCACACGTTGGGATAATTTGTCAAGTCTTTCTTGTAGCGACAATTTATCAGAAAGCAAAACAAAATTGTCTTCAATTCCTTTACAACAAAATTTAGCTGCCTCCGCATTTCGTTTCAAGTGTTTATTTAAATTAAGCACCAAACGTTTATACCATCTTCCACGGGAATTGATACAAAAATGTTTGAGTTCTAAAGGAAAATAAATTTTAAAAATGCAAAAAATTCCAAAAAAACCTTCTTTACTCAACAAAAATATTAGCCAGTTTACAGCAAGTTCATAGTCTCTTAATCTCTGGGCTGCTTCAACTCCCCGAAATATACAACGACAATAAATCCAAGGAGGTGTAAATTTGCGTAAATAAACAGGCAAATTAATAAATTGAAAAATTCTGAAAGTAAATTTTTTTTTAATTTTTAAAAATAAAAATAAAACTTTGCATCCTCTTCGCCATCCAAAAATTCCTTAGAAAATAATTCTTTCAATTCTGCAGCTACAGATTTTGCTTCTTCAAATAAAGACTTGTCAATAAGGCAAACTAAACGTTGTTCATCATATTTTGCTTTAACATATCTAAATTTCAAAAAAATTTTTATAAAAAAAATTTTAGAAAAAAATTTAAAGAAAAACCTTGTTAACCCATCAAAATCAGAAAAAAGGTCAATCAAAGAATATTTCAAATTTAAATTATTTACAAAATTTAAAGTTTCTGCTTGACGTTGAAGCATTGAGAAACTGAAAAAAATAAATTAAATTAAAAATTTAAAAAAATTATTTCGAACATTAATTGATCACACAAATCAACATAACATTGATGGGGACGAACAGCAGCGGCGCCAACATCCATCAAGTTTGGGGCATATACAGAGAAAAAAGAATTAAAGAAATAGAGTATATCCTGTTTAATTCTGTAGCACTTTCCGGTTAGTTGTTTTATACTGAAATAGAATAAGTTTAAAAACAAAAACAGAAAAATCAGAATTAGCAAACAACAAAAAAGACAACAATAAAAACAAATAACAAACAGAACAATCAGAATTAATTAAAAACACAATAAAAGAAAACCAGAATAAACAAAGAACGAATTCCGGAAACGTAACACATTACGAACAGAAAAATCAGAATTAATATAAACACAAAACAATGAAAAACAAATAACAAACAGAAAAAAACCAGAATAAACAAACAACAAAACAAAACAGAATTAATAAACAACAAACAAAACAAAACCAGAATTAATAAATAACAAACAGAAAACCAGAATTAATAAATAACAAAACAAAATCAGAATTAATAAACAACAAGCGAAAAAATCAGAATTAACAAACAACAAATTCCGGAAAACACATTACGAAAAACAAACAGAAAAATCAGAATTAATACAAAACACAACAAAAATACAAAAACCAAAATAATCACCAAAACTTAAAAGAAACACATACAAAATCAGAACATAAAAGAAACACATGTGTTTCATATTAATTCTGATTTTTGTATTTCTTTGTATTTTATTAAAAACATACAAAAATCAGAATTTGTATTTTTCCTCTCAAATTTCCCCTATAAAAACAACAAATAAAACCCACCAATTCAACAAATGCTTCAAATTACACCGTCCAAAAACATCTTTACGTATTGCATGCTTTTTTAATTCTCTAATAATTCCCTGCCTTCCAATTCTTGTATCAATATGAAATTTTTTGCAAATAATTTTAAAATCGTCTACTTGAAGTAAATTGAAAGCTTCATCAAGTGTGATATTTGAAGAATTTGGATCGCCATTTTCGTTTATTGAAAATGCTTTGAAAAATATTTTAAATTAATTTAAGAATATTTTAAATTAAATACCTTCCTCAAAAAATCCATTTTCACAGAGTTCAATAAATAAAGGCATCAATTTTGGGCCCAAATCGTGATATCTTTAAAATTAATTTCAAAAATTAATAGAATTAATAATAGTCTGATAGTTTGAGGAGAAATAGGGAAATGAAAAAAATAATATCGAGTAGTTAAATAGATTCTCGACCACTTTTTCTATCTAAAAATGAGGAACATATGTGCTTGATCGAGCGAGCACAGGGCTGATCAAACACACAAAAATGGAAAGAGGATACAAATACCAGTTGATCACGACCATTTTTTCCTACTTACAGCCTTGTAAAAAGAATCTAATTTAATTTTCTGTGAACTTATGAGTCTAACAGTATTTTTCTTTTGCGGACAAAAAATTGCGAATTTTAGAAAAATATTTAACAAATTTATTTCTAAATTATCTGTTCTTATTTCATCTCCCTCCCACCAAATCTCTTGAAAAATTAAAAAAATTTTTTTAAAGTTAACTCACCTAATATTACGAGCAATATGAAAACCTCTTCTCCGTACCAATATTCTACAAAAAAGTTGTTGAGCCGAAACTTGAAAAAAATTTTTTTTTAATTTTTTATAAAAAAAAATAAAAACCTGAAGTTGTCAAAAAAGAATAAACTTTTCTTAAAGAATCGCCCCAAAATTTAGTTGCAGTCTCCAAAATATTTCCATGTCCGTTTTTAACACAGTGGAGAGCCTTAAATTAATTTTCAAAAAATTTAAAAAATCAAAAAAAACTTTTTGTATAATTTGCCAAACAAAACGTAAAGAATAATGAACTGGAAGTAATTTGTTAGACAAATTTTCTGTTGGTGGTGAGTCCATAAGAGAATCATTTTCGTCTGTCAAATCCATTGGTCGATTAGTATCGCCTATTTTAAAATTTTAAAAATGAATTTTGGAAAAATTATGAAAATAAAATAAGATGAAAAATACCCAAAAAATAGTCTGAAAAATTAGAAGGAAAGGAAGGAAAAATTTTTGAAAAATTTATTCGTGCCGACAATAAAAAAACGACAAAATATATATCATTCGAAAGAGCTTGCGGAGCTGCAAGTAACAATGACAGTTCGATATTGTTCCTTGTGAGGTCGGATGGTACCAAATTATGCGGCACTCGCAGCCAGAAGTTAGAAAATGAAGCTCGAGATGGTCAGAAACCATAGGGGGCCTTAAGCTGATTTTTGAGGTCGAGAAATCGAATAAGCTCATTTGACTAGACATTTTCTTTCTAAATTTTTAGAAAAAATTTTCAGAAAAAGAATTTCCCCAATTTTCTAATTGAGCCGTTTTAATTCAAAAAATAAGTCAAACCAAATTATTTACATTTTGGAGGTGGAAGATTGCGCAAAAGCTCTTCTTGCTCATTCAAAAACCTTTGTAGCCGTTCAACACACAAATCATAAATTTGAGCTAGTGGCAAATCGGAACAATAATTTTTGGGTTTAAAAGAAGTAATTGGAACTTCGTTAGAGCTATCATCACAAATAGTTATTGGACTTGCTGGAGCTTAAAAAAGGGTATTATTTTTTTAACTATTTTAGTTGATAAAAATTTATTTGAGATATTTGCGCGTAAATAAAATGAGGAAATTTAAAAAGTTGAAAAAAAAATTTGCACTTTACTAATGAATAGAGATCGATGAATAGAGATCCGGCTTTTTTTCCAAGGCCTGGGTTTTTCCTGTGCCCAGAAAAACAGGCCAGGCTTTTTTTACCTTCCTGGATTTTTCCTGGACTACAGGTCAATAAATCAAACCCGTAACACAGGAACAGGCTTTTCAAAAATATCGATTTCTTTTAATGACCTCACGAACCGAAATAAGACTGTCAGTAAAAATAGAAAAAAGAATCCTATTTTCAAAAAACCAATCCTTACATTAACAATAAATTCTAATAAAATAACGTTACCCCTAGAAGGTTACAGTCATAAACCTCCAAAATTCCAGAAAAAACGAAAAACTTTTTTAATTCTAAGAAATCCAAATTAAGGTTTATTCAATTTTTGGTGATTTTTAATTTAAAAACAAGAAATAAAAGAAACCTCTTCTCGCATTGCCATCAAAAACATTTTCAGAAACAATACCAGAATTCAGTGCCGAACTTCTCGGGGCTTCAGAATTTGAACGAGAATCCTCATCCTCCACATTCACAACCACGCTTGATTTATCCGTTCTCTTTTGATTCTTCTTGGAGTTATTGACTTCCCTGGATACTTGTTCATTCTCCTTATGTCCTTGTCCTTCTCCACAAAAAATAATATCATCATCATCCTCCTCCACCTCCCCCTCTCGATTTTTACATTTTTCATAATGTTGTAAATAAATAGAATAATCCATCTTTTTGTTACATTTTGGACATTGACGAATATTTTGAATTCTTTTAAATGCTGCTTCTATTGTATTGTTATTGTTGTTTTTAATAATATTTTTAGTTGGACGGTCAGAATTGGTGTTGTTAAAGGCTGTTTTGTTAGACTTCTTTCTAGTCATTTTAAGGTATAAATATAATTAGACTATTGTTGTTGTAAATGGCTGAAAATTAATTAGATTAAACAAAAAAAATTCAAAAGAAAATTTCAAAAACATCTCCAAGTAAATCCCAAAGAAAAACATTGTCAAAGGGACACGCCCATAACGGCGCGCGCCCAAAACGGCGCAAAGCCATACCCTGCTTCAAGATTTACGAATCCTAACAAATTTGGTATTAAACGATTCCTCTCATCGAGCTAGGGAGATTGGTATTAAAATTGGCAAGAGTCAGACATTTTTCAGCAAGTTATGGCTTTGCGCCGTTATGGCCTCGCGCCGTTTTGGGCTGTACCCAACTCGAAAAATTCCCCAAAGATTGGAGTAAGACTCAAAGTTTAATTTTAAAGAAAAACTATTAGAGTCCTGAACAAATTTCCCCATAATTTTTTATTCTGTTTGACCAAATGGCAAATTTACCTCTACTGACCGAAACGAATTTAGATGTTCTAAAATTTATTTTTACAAAGTATAAAAGCCTACTGTATAATTTGAGTCTCCATTTATTTTTTAAATTTAATGAGGCAATTTTTATTTTTTTTTTGGACATATTTTTCTGGTTTTTGTTAATAAAATCCTGCTTTAGGTTTCGATTATTTAAAAATTGCTTTGCGTCTTATAACGAGAAGGGTAATAGGAAAAGAGATAATTCCTTGAACGATTTTGTCTTTTTACTTTTTTGATTGTTATTCTTTTTGTCGCAAGACGCAAGGCTATTTTTAAATAAATTTTTAAAAGAAAATTTTAAGTGAAATTTTAAGAGCAGAGACGAGATCTGAGACGAGATCTCAAACAAAACAATCGCAATTTTTTGAGACCTTATGGCGCTCCCAGTCAGGGCTGGACGAAATTCCGGATTGCGTGAAATTGCGTGTTTTTTGACTTGAGGATTGCGGCTGCGGATTTTTAAATTAATTTGCGAGTTGTGACTGCGGAAAATTTTTTTTCAATTGCGTCCACCCCTGCTCTCAGTCCTGTTTTTATTCCAAAAATTCTTCTTTGTAATAAAAATTAATTTGAATGCTTTTTTTTAATTTTTTTATATTTTTTTCAGAACAAAAAAGAGAAAATTATTTATTCTATTAAAACGCCTATATTATTTACTACTTTAAATTTGACTTTAACAACAAAAATTATAAAAAGTTTGGTATTTATTTTTCTTCTGTGTTGGTTGCTGAATGAAGGTGGGTGAAATTTTAAATTTTTTTTCCCCTAAAAAATTTTTTTAGGGGAAATTTTTTTAAATTTTTAAAATTTTTTTTCTGAAAAAATTTTCTTTTGTGTTTTGATTTTCTAATTGTGTTTTGAATTTTAATATTAAAAATTTTTTTTTCTTTATTTTCACTCCCCCCTCTTTAATTTTTAAGAAAGGGCAAAATTCGATTTTAGCGTCACTTTATTTATCGCTTGCTTAATCTTTTTTAAATGCCCTTTTCTCTTGCCAATGATAGCTATTTAATCAATTATGGCGATTTTTTGTTTTTATTTTTAAATTTATTTATTTTTAAATTTTATTTAAATATTTTTCGGCACTTTTTTTTTAATTTTTATTTATTTACTTTTTTTTACTTCCTTAATTAATTTCATAATTGCTTCTTTCATTATTTATTTTTATTCTCTTCTTTCTGTAGTTTTTCCGGATTTTTCTAGTCATTTCAAAATTTAGGGGATGGTTTAAGCTTTTTTTATATTTTTAAAATTGGGGATGTCTTAAATCTTTTGAAAAAATATCGGTAATTCCAAGGCTGGTCCCCCCCCTTTTTTTTCTGTTTGCCTGACCATTTTGAGATTTTTTGCTTGAAATATAATTTACAATATATCATTCGAAAGAGCTGTTCGAGCTGAGTAGAATGATACTATGATCGGATAGATTTGTCGATTTTGAACCAAATTATGAAGCTAAATCCTCGATGGACATGCTTTTTGTGATGATGAAAGGGATTAAAACAATTGCTCATAACTATGTTTATTTAAGTCGGATTTCGATGAATTTAGTACCGTTCGACTCAGCTTGAAGAGCTCTTTCGAACGATATATAATTTGCCATAAAAAGTTTAAAAAATCGAAAAAAAAAATTTAAAGGAAAAAAAGGGGGGCCAGCCTTGGAATTACCAAAACAAAATATCCTTCAACCCTTTTGAATTATTTTTATTTTTTTGTGTATATTCCAGGGATGGGACGTGTTTAAAAAAGGTAGTCATTCATGTTTGGGGTTTCAAAAAATTTTTCGGATTGGATTTTTGATAGAGGAAAATTCGGATAACCGACTCTGCCCATTTTTGGTACTTAAAAGCTTTGACCAGTCGATGTGTGTTTTGTAATTTTTCCGGATTCCGAAATTTTTCCTGATATTTTTTATTGTAAAATTTTATTCCGGTGTTAGCCTATTTGTTAAAAAAAAGATTTAATTTGGCCTTGAACCTTTTTGAAAAAAAGAAGTTTTTCAGTCACAATTCCTATTCTTGTGCTTCATCAACATACTATAAGCATTTTACTTATTTCTTTACTGATTTTTAATTAATTTTTACTTGAATAAATTAAAAAACAATTTTCATCGGAAAAAGGTTTTTGTTTAAACTTTTAAAAGAAAAACTTTTTTTTCTTTTAAACAAAAATTGATTTAAAGGGGGAAAGTCTATATTAAAAAAAGTTAAAGGAAGGGGGGATTTTTGTTGTTGTTTTTCTTTTTTTAAATTATTTAATATATGCTTACGTGTTTAATATTTTTTTTATTGTAAAATTTTCTGGCCAATGGACTACTTTTCCCAGCAATTGATTTTTGCAATGATTTTTTTGGAATATTAATTTTTATTAATTAATTTTTGGTGTTTTTTGGAAGATTTTTGTGAAAATTTTTTGGGAAAATATTTTGGGGAAAAAATTTTCGGGAAAAATTTTAGAAAATTTTCGGAAATACTTTTTGACTCTGCGTCATTGTTATAATTTTTTAAAAATATTTTTAAAATAATTTTATTTTTGACAATCCTTCCTGTCCCCTTCTGTTATTATTTTTAATTTATTTGAAAAAAATTTTATTTGAAAAAAACTTTATTTAAATTAATTTTTTAATTTTTCTAGATGACAGCAAAACAAAGAAGATCAGCAACAAAAGGATTGTTAGTATTTTTATTTTTAAAAATTTAATTTCCCCCAAATTTTTTTTTTCAGTGAACCAGAAGAGTACGACGCTAATTTAGATTGTCCAGTACCGTATATTGCTTGCGTTTGTAGAGGTTTTTTTTAATTAAATTAAAAATTTTTTTTAAAAATTTGGGAGGGAAATTGGGTAATTTTTTGAGGTTTTTTTTGACATTTTTGTTAAAAAATTTTTTTTGGGAATTTAATAAATTTTATTTTGAAAAAAATTTTTTTTTTAGAAAATTAGAAAGAAAAAATTTTTAGAAAGAAAAATTAATTTTGAAAAAGTCAATAAATGATCGAAAATTCAATCAATATTTTTTTTGAAATTAAAAAAATATTTTTTTTTAATTTTTCTAAAATTTTACTCTTACTTATTTATGGGCTGAAATATATTTTATAATTTTTGTTTTTTATTTTTAAAAATTTAATTTAATTAAAAAAAATTTTTTTTTAATTTCAAAAATTAAAAAAAATTTTTTTTTCTTAAATTTGTAACATTCATTAATTTACACTGGAAAAAATCGTCAAACGAATACCAGCCAAAGATTCCTAAAAAAAATTTTTTTTTTAATTTTTAAAACAAAATTTATTTTCTCTTATTTTATATTTTTTCAAGGTGTTCCAATTCCTAAAAAATAAAGGAAGATTTTTGGCGCCTTCGGCGCCAAAAATCATCAAAAATTTACCCTATGGGAAGAAAAAATTGTCTTGAATCTTGTTAATTTTTTGTCTTGAGTCGTGGGGTCTTGGTCTTGGAAAATTTTCGGCCTCGGACGTCTACGATTTTTCCTGTTTTTTAACACACAGGGAAATTGACGGATAAATTTTTACCCAAAAAAATTTTTAATTAAAAATTAGCATTTTACATTTAAAAATAAAATTAATAAGAAATTCTTTTATTTTCTCTCATTTTCAAGGTGTCCCAATCCCTAAAAAAATAACGGATGAAGGTGTTGGTTTTAGAATGCGTTGTACTAACGATCGTTGTCATTTGGCTAGTTCATTTTTTTTACATAAAAAATGTTCGGATAAATTGGAAGAAAATTTATTGAAAATTTTGGCAAATGAAGGTTCTGCTAGAGGGTGGACAGGTTTGTGGAAATTTAAATTTAATTTTAAATTTATTTATAATTTAAAGATGCACAATTAAGAAGTAATTTGTGGGAAAAGAAGGGGCAATCTTTAGTTGGAAGAATTTTACGTTGTCGATGTGGAATGGGTGTAATGAGTGTTGATGTTGATTTTTACAAGGTTTTTTTGAAAAAAAATTTTCTTGAAATTTTTTCTTGAAAACGATGGTAAGTAGATGGATTGGGGAGGCATGTAAGGATGGTAGGCTGTAGAGTAAATTTGAAGGGTAGTCCGAAGGGAACATAGGTAGGCTGAAGGGAACCTCTGTAATTTTTACCAGTCCGAAGGGAACATAAGTAGTCCGAAGGGAAAAGTGGTCCGGAGGGAACCTCTGTACCAGTCCGAAGGGAACATGAAAATAGGCTGAAGGTAACATGAATGCTGTCCGAAGGTAGAGTCTCTTTACTCCAAAGGAGCCCCCTATCTTTTTATTGCTCCAAAAGAAACATGTTAAATAGTCCGAAGGGAACATTAAAAAATTAGTTTGATTTTTGGTAACATTCTCATAAATTTTCCCTTCATTTCCTTGTCTATTTCCTTAATTTTTTTATTAAAAAATTTTTTATCTTTTAAAGAAACAAATGGTTGAAGAACGAAAACAAAAAACATTTGCTGATCCAAAAGTAGTACAAGCTAAAAAGGCAGCCAAAAAAAGTAAATTACCTGCTGTTAATTATAATAATGTTCGTCCTGTTCCGTTGGAAT